TTCAAACGAGATATGAAAAAGATGCTGAAACAGTGGGATTCAATAAAGAACAGACAGAGTTTGATCAGATACTGTTAAAAACAAATGAAAAGTTGATTAAGAAACTTTATAAATTTCTGTTAAACTTAAAGATGGAGGAAGAACAAGTAAAAGAAACAATGATAACATGGGCAAAGAATTTTGGATAGAATATAGAATTAGAAGACTGGCAAAAGTTATGGGAAAGAAATGTTAAATTAACTAAAGCAGTGGTATATAAAGAAAACATATAAAATGTTTTGCAGATGGCATATGAACCAGTGAGATTACCAAAAATGTTTAAAAATACTTCAAACAACTGTTGGAAATGCAAACAAAGACCAGGTACTGATTATCATATCTGGTAGACATGCCCTAAAGCAAAAAGATTTTGAGTTAAAATACATTTATGGTTGGAAAAAATGACTAAAAAACAAATAGACTTTAAACCAGACTTATTTTTGTTAGGAATAATAGGAGCAAATTATGAGAAAGATTGCATATATTTAATTCTACACGTACTAACTACAGCAAAAATTGTATTTGCACAACATTGGGAAAAATGAAAATTTACCAGCTGAAGAAGCACTAATTAAATTTTTTTTACAGTGTGCAAAAATGGATAGATTGACTTTAAAGAGAAAAGAGAAAGAAGACTGTGTATTTTAGAACATGGGATAATTTCTATCAATGGGTAGAAAAACGAGTTAGTGAGAAAGGAATGTGATATGTAACTTTGAATATATATTAGCAAGAAGACTATTGAGTGATTAATTAACATATTGTTTATGATAATTAACTTATCTATTATTGTTTGTTAAATACATGAACCCAGACATTATGCTGTTTGCTAAATATTGAGAATGTTATTTGGAAAAAACCCAACCCTAACCCCAACCCTAATCCTAACCCTAACACAAATCCCAACCCCAACCCCGACCCCACCTTATTCCTAATCCTATAAAAATTAATAAAATTTATTCCCCCCCCAAAAGATGGAAATCTTTAAACCCTATCCTTTCGGGATATGGTAAATACTCCCAAAATATAATAATTCCTAACACATTTGATATTAACTGTAGATCGTTTTTATTCAGAGAGAAAACTCACACTAACACACTAATAATGGATTTTCCACAATTTAAATACAGTATGTTTTTCTGTAAATTTATATGGGGTTCTTCAGTTCAAACTATCTAATTCAATATATCTTTTTCAAAGCACCTTTGAAAAAGATGAACTTGTTACTGAAAAATGAGGTTTGGATTTCTCAAATTCTGAATTATATCATGATGTATATATATTCTGATGATTCCACATTTGGAGCAACTTCATTTGGTATAATTTTTCCTTTTTATGGTATTTTGGAATATTCATAAGTGGCATTCTTGGTAGCACTGTTTTCAAAACATATTAGCCATAACCCCTATTACTATTATATCAAACTGAATATTGTGGTATATTATTTTTGAAAAAATGCATTTTGATCCCTTTTCTTAGGTTAAATTGATGCAATGAAATAATCCAGACTTTAAAATTAATTTTATAAAAACTGTGTTATCAGAAAGATTTTCTACTTTAGACAAGTTAAGAAATGATAAAGATGGAATTTTACTATTCCTTTCTTCGAGAATAAATAACTTTTTACTTCAGCATTCCACAGGAAATAATTATAGCTCCAGGTAGTCCTCATTTATCAACTGCCATTGGGACCAGCAACTCAGTTGCTAAGTGTTATAGTCCTAAATAGAAAAACCATGTGACTATTTCTGACTTACTACTGCAGTTCTCACTGTGGTCATTAGCAAATCACCACAGGTGTTTAAGCAAAATGTCATGTGACAATGATTTGCACTTTTCTCCCAGCTTCCCCCTTGACTACAAAGATCACAAATGGCAAACATATAATCATGGGATGCTGTGATTGTCAGAAATGCACATCAATTGCCACATAAATTTGGATAATTAACTTGGATGAAGCAGCATTTCAGTTAGAGCAGGGGTAGGCAACCCAAAACACTCAAAGAGCCACTTGGACCCGTTTCCCACCAAAAACAAAATACCGGGAGCCGCAAAACCCTTTTGATATCTAAAATGAAGATAACACTGCAAATACCCTTTTTTACCTTTATTATAGGTGTGTGTGTGTTTGTGTGTGTATATGTATATGTGTGTGTGTATGTGTGTGTGTGTGTGTGTGTGTGTGTATATATATAAACAAACCCAAAGCCACACCGATGACGAGGCACGACCACAAACCAGAAGCCAGACCACAGCTGCATCATTAGCCACTTTAAACCCCTCCAATCCATACATGAAGCAAACTGACACCCCCCATGAAGAGGAGACACAACCACGAACGAGAAGCCAAAAAATAGCAAGGCAGCCCAAAATCTTAAACCCCTCTGCAACTCAGACTAACCTGAGCACAACCAAACAGAACACTCCCCCAGCCAATCAGAGCACAGCCAAGCCCCTAACCATTCAGAACACACCTCCACCCAATCAGAACACAGCCAAGCTCCCACCCAATCAGTTCATACCCCCACTGGCAGTTAAAAGGAAGAAACAGCTAAGACCACACATTGCTGCTCAAAGCACGAAGCTGAAAACACCAGCCTGAAGATGACGAATGGGACTTCGTCGAAACGTCGCCAAGACACTTCCAATTTTACGCGGGAGAAAACCCGAACAACCAAAGACCTACATATATATATATATATATATATATTATATATATATATATATATATATATATATTGTTTTCTGAGGTTTTCGCGGGTATTTGTATGTAGGTCTTTGGTTGTTCAGGTCTTCTCCCGCGTAAAAATTGGAAGTGTCTTGGTGACGTTTCGACGAAGTCCCATTCGTCATCTTCAGGCTGGTGTTTTCAGCTTCGTGCTTCGAGCAGCAATGCTGAAGCACGAAGCTGAAAACACCAGCCTGAAGATGACGAATGGGACTTCGTCGAAACGTCGCCAAGACACTTCCAATTTTACGCGGGAGAAAACCCGAACAACCAAAGACCCACATACAAACACCCGCGAAAACCTCAGAAAACATATATATATATATATATATATATATATATATATATACACATACATACATACACACACACACACAGGTAAAAAAGGATATATGCAGTGTTATCTTCATTTAAGATGTCAAAAAGGTCTCTCTCTCTGTCTCTCTCTCTCTCTACCTCCCTCTCTCTATCTGCCCTTGGTCTGCCAGTCCTCTTCTCCCACTCTCTTTCTCTCTCTCTCTTTCCTCTCTCTCTCTCTCTCTCTCTCTCTCTCTCTCTCTCTCTCTCTCTCTCTCTCTCTCTCCCCCTCTCTCCCTCTCTCCGATCTTCTGCTCACTTGGCAAGCTGGCTTCAAGCTGTTCTCCAACAAGCTCAAGGCCATACTTGGCTCTTTTATGACTCATGGACTTCAACTCCCAGAATTCCTGAGCCAGCATAGCTGGGCTAGCTAGCTCTCTCCTGCCCTTCCTGCTTCCTGCTGAGACACAGCAAAGGGAGGAGCCTTGCCCAAAAAGCTTTTCAGCTCGTCAGAGAACACTGTGAGTGCACTCTCTTTTACACACACACACACACACAGAGAGAGAGAGAGAGAGAGAGAGAGAGAGAGAGAGAAGCAGGGAAGCGCAATTGCCTCTCTCTGTCTCTGTCTCTCTCTGCAAATGGCAGAGGAGGCTGGGAGCCACAGGGGAAGGCTCAAAGAGCCGCATGCGGCTCCGGAGCCGCAGGTTGCCGACCTGTGAGCTAGAGGGAGACATAAATCATTAGAAGTGATCATCAAATGTTATGTAATTTAAAATACCCGTTACTCTTTATTAGTAAAGAGTATTGGTTTTCAATAAATCACTTTGATAGGCACATTTAAAAAGTGAATGGAATAAATCAGTGGAGATCTACCTAATATGACAATAGAAGATTGTTTTAACAACAAATTTATATTAAAATGTTTAATATAGATTATAAGTTCTTCAACAAAATAATATTTTGGATTTGTAGATCCCTATTATTATACTATACTATATTATACTATATTATACTATATTATACTATATACTATATACTATATACTATACTATACTATACTATACTATACTATACTATACTATACTATACTACACATTACATTACATTACATTATTACACAGAAAAAGAATCAATAAGTATTGCCATTTTGAGATGTAATGAGAATGAAGTATCATTTAAACATAAACTTTTGCAATGTCTCAAAATTATTAAATTCTGTGGGAAGGTTATTATATGTATCAGTTGTATTTGGGTTTTAACTTTTTGTGATGGCTATATTCTTTTGAACTATTACATGAAAAGTGATGGGTGGGCAACACAAATGGATTCTCTGTGCCATTCTTGGCATTAGATTTTTTTGCATAAGATTGCAAAGAAACACATATGGCCTCAATCAGCCAATGGACAGAAGACTTTTTGTTACAAATTCTGAACATGTTGTGTGAACAGAGACTATAACAATTATAAAATAATACTAGATAATCTGTACCCGGTTGGGTCATGTTTTAGAAATATTTCCTTATCTAAGGAGAGAAACAGAATGACACGGGAGGGCAAAATAGCAGTGAGAGCGGGAGTGAATTCAAATTTCCTGTTGACTTCCCCACTGAGTTTCCTTGTGGGAGAATGGCAGGGAACAATGGAAATCCATCCATCCTTCCTTCCTTCCTTCCTTCCTTCCTTCCTTCCTTCCTTCCTTCCTTCCTTCCTTCCTTCCTTCCTTCCCTCCCTCCCTCCCTCCCTCCCTCCCTTTGTCCCTTGCTTTCTTCATGGTCAGCACTGCAAAACCACCCTGCAGCTTTCCCCATCAGGATTTTTAGGGTAATTAACATTCACAGTAGTTTGAATAGATAGGGAGGCAAAGGAAAGGACCTGATCATGCTGAATTCGGTTTAAATATAATTTGGAGAACCTTTGAATGTTTCTGCCTTACCTGATATAAGTTGGTGAGCATCAACATCTGCAACTAAAGATGGACTAGAATTAGTAAAATAAACATTATAATAATGGTTAAATCATAGAGCATTTTTAAAATACATGACTGTATGACTTCTATGAATGTGTACATTTATAATGTATATTAGATTTCTTATCTAATAATTCCTATGCATTTCTACATATTTTCCTCTTTCCCCTTTTTCTTTTGCGAGCAGACTTGAATGCCCACAGAGATAAAAATTACCAGACATAGTTAAGGGTGGGTGTCCTTACCCTCTCTCACAGCTCTGGGTTGCAGAACTTGCAGAAGGCAAACTGCCATTAAACTATTTTTTCCACTCCTAAGATACTAAGCCATTCCAAAAGCATATTAAAAACAAAAGTATCAAGCTATCCAGAGATCAATTATGGCTAGGATAAATAAAATACCCATGTCCTGGGGCCATCCATAAATGCAAACAATACCATCTCAGTGCTATATCTCAACCTGAAACACAAGTTGAAAGGACCTAGATAATTGTTTCCCCCAGTGCTCTTCAAACGATCTGTCACTTCATTCAATCAAGAACCACATTCCATCTGTTCGACTCAGCTACATGTGGTCTCCTGGGAGGCCTTTACTAACCAGGAAGGAGGACAGGATTCAACCCCCCCAAGGAGCCCAGCCACTTTTTCAAGGCTGACTGGATCAAAGGACAAGATGGCTTCTGCAATGTGCAGTGGGTGACTGACAGTGTGAGAAAATTTGGTGAGGAATCCATATGAATCTGAGCTGAAGACTTTGAGTGAAGCAGAGAAACAGCATATTGCAGAGTTTGAAATGAGGTTACCAATAAGAAACCATCAAAAATTTTCTTCTTTTTATATAGCAAAGCTTCCCTCATCAGGAAAGAGAAAATTATTTTGCCTCAACTGCCTCCTATTAAATTAGAGTTGAGCCATCTCCTCACCTTTGAGTTCCCCTTCTTCTAAAAAGCACCGAGGGCTCTCTGGCTATGTCATCAGGGTTCCCTAATTCCTTCTGCAGTAGCCCACCCTTCACCTCTATATTTCTATCCCAGTTTCTTTTCAACACACGGATGGTGGGGGAAGAAATCTTTGCCCTCCCAGGGGTGAGGCCTTTGAGCAGTTAGGTGGGTGTTTCCCAATGTTATAACCCTCCACAATTTATTTTTCAAGTATGTCTTTACCAAATCCCACATTTTGGATAACATTTCAAATCCACTTTTCATTCTTTTATTCTCTAGCCTAAGTAGTTTGATGAAATTGCAGTCCCCTAGATCGTTGTCCATGAGGTCACGATGGGTCGGACAAGACTTTGCAATTAACAACAAAAAGATCTTTGGACAGCTCTTCAAGGGATGGGTGGTGTTATGTCCCGAGCCTTGCAAACAGGCTCGGGGCGTTTGCAGGCAGTCCCGGGCAGGTGCAAGCTGCCCGGGACCAGACAGGCTGTCGCCAGCGCCTGTGCGCATGCGCGGGTGCTGGTGCGGGAAAAGTAACACATTGACCCGGGAATCGCCTATATAAGAGGTTGGGAGCTTTGGGGCGTTGCTGAAGCCTTCACCTGTAAGCTGAACACAGAATAAATGAAAACCTGAGAACTACAACTGCTTCTCGTGTCTGCTTTTCGCCAAGGACTCAACACTGGCGACGAAGGTGGGATGCCTTACATCACCTGGAAAGGAAGAGGTGTAAGCTTACCCAAGTGAGTCCTGAGCAGCGGAACAGCGTTGACTCGGCAGCTACCCGCCAATCCAGTGCGCATTCGGGGGTAGGCTGGCTGATAGACCCGTCTCCTGAAAATGGCAAAAGTTGGAAGGCTTTCGGAATTCGACGTCTCACATCCAGAGCGTGGGAGTCCTACGTAGCCAGGGTGGAAAATTACCTCAAGGTAAACCAAGTGAGGGAAGATAGCTTGAAGGCTGCCACCCTGCTTTGTGTCTGCGGTCAAGACGCCTTCGAAATCGCAGAGAACCTTGCAGCACCTGTCCCATTAGAGTCTGTCAGCTACGCAGATCTAAAGAAGCTATTGAAGGAGCACTTCCAGCCCAAGATGTCCGTCATCGCATGGCGCTACACCTTCGAGCAGAGGGATCAACGATCCAGAGAGTCGGCCAAAGAATACATCGCCGCATTGAGGAAGGCTGCCAAGCACTGCGAGTTCAAGGACCTCGAAGAACGACTGAGGGACCGATTCGTGTGCGGCTTAAGGTATCGAGATCTACAACAGAGGCTTTTCGCCAAAGAAGACTTGTCCTTCCAAGATGCCTTAAGAGAGGTCACCGCAGAAGAAGCAGCAAGCGGCGCCATTAAAAACATGCGGCCAATCAGGAACAGTCCAGATGCTGCATCCGTGCACCAAGAGGACGTCCAAGGGAACTCCGAGGAGGATCCGGACGAGGAAGTCGACCGTCTCCACCCCACGAAGGAAGGGAATCAGAAAGGAAGCTCTGCAGCTCCCCTCAAGTGCATCGGCTGTGGAGGTCGCCACAGGAGAACCGACTGCAAGTTCCGCTCTGCTATCTGCCGGGCGTGCGGGAAACAAGGACATATTGCAGCTGTGTGTCTGGGCCGACGAAAGGTACAACCTCAGGAAGAACTGCGCCTGAAAGGTACCAGGGTTCCCAGCCAGAATAGGGTAGGTTTTTGCGCTTCGCGAAGAAGCATCTTCAGGACAGGCACACACAAGCCCATCAAGAAAAAGCTGTCACTCAAGGTGAAGCTACAAGGGGTTCCATTAACTATGGAACTAGACATGGGGTCTGCCCTTTCAATCATATCCTTACATACATTTAGGAAGATTTGTTCCGGCAGTGGAACTCAGGCTAAATTAAGGCCTTCTGACATTGTGTTAACAGACTTTCAAAATTCGAGAGTGTGTGTTAAGGGGGAGGCCACCCTTAACGTACAGTATAAGAATTTTGAAGGTCCACTAGACCTATTAGTAGTAGGGGGTGAACGAACGAGTCTCATAGGACTCGATTGGTTTGAAGCCTTGGGGATACACGTCACGGGGCTCAACAGCTTACAAACACTCAACCTACTGGGAGTCTGCAAAGAATTTGCAGATGTCTTCAGCCCCCAGCTGGGCACATTCAAGGGACCCCCTGTGTCCTTAAAACTAGACCCCACTGTCACTCCCATTAGAATTAAAGCAAGAAGGGTCCCTTTTGCTTTAAAAAGTAAGATTGACACTGAACTAGACAAACTAATCCAACAGGGAATCCTAGAACCTGTTGATTCCAGCCCTTGGGAGACCCCCATTGTCACGCCTCTAAAGGCAAATGGGGACATTCACATTTGTGCTGACTACAAATGCACTCTTAATAAGGCATTGCAGCAACATGCCTATCCTGTTCCTGTGGTCAGTCATATTCTGGCCTCCCTCAAGGGGGGGCGCGTTTTTGCAAAGCTTGACCTAGCTCAAGCGTATCAACAGCTGCCTGTTGATGATGCTGCTGCTATAGCTCAGACTATTGTGACCCACAGGGGAGCCTTTAAGGTAAAAAGGCTACAGTTTGGAGTGAATGTCGCTCCTGGGATTTTCCAAAGCGTAATGGAAAACACACTACGGGGCATACCGGGGGTTTGCCCCTACTTTGATGATGTCTTAATTGCAGGAGACTCCACACACATTCTAGCTGAAAGGCTAAGGGCTGTTCTGTTAAGGTTCAGGAAAACAGGCCTCAAGCTCAAAAAAGACAAATGCAAAATTGGGGTGCCTTCTACTGAATTTCTGGGATTCAAAATTGATGCTGCTGGGATTCACCCTGCTGAATCCAAACTAACTGCCATTTTAGAAGCACCTAGGCCAAAGTCTAAGGCCGAACTTCAGGCCTTTCTGGGCCTCCTGAATTTCTACAATTCCTTTCTTCCACATAAAGCTAGTGTAGCTGAGCCTCTTCACAGGCTATTAGACAAACAAGCAGTGTGGCAGTGGTCACAAACACATGAGGCTAGTTTCAATGAGGTCAAGGCCTTACTCACTTCTAACAGTGTACTTGCACACTTCAATGAGTCCCTTCCTGTGTGCATCGCTTGTGATGCTTCCCCTTACGGGGTAGGAGCTGTCCTGAGCCACCTCAGGTCTGATGGAACTCAGGTTCCTGTTGCATATTACTCCAGAACACTGTCTTCTGCTGAGCGCAACTACGCTCAGATAGACAGGGAGGCTCTGGCTGTCGTTGCTGGAATTAAAAAATTCCATGATTTCTTGTATGGCAGGCATTTCACGGTCTTCACTGACCATAAGCCTCTGCTGGGACTGTTTACCACACGTAAACAAACTCCCCAAATCATTTCCCCTAGAATGCTTAGGTGGTCTATTTTTCTGTCTGCATATGATTTTTCCTTACTCCACAAGCCTGGGAAAGAAATGGGCCATGCTGATGGCCTCAGTAGATTGCCCCTGCCAGTAGTAGAAGCTGACCCTGCGCCAGCTGTCAACATTCTATCCATCCAAGCCTTGCCCGAGTCCCCTCTGAATGCCAGGGATGTCGCCGCTGAAACAGGCACAGATCACACACTTTCACGTGTCCTTTCTTGGGTTTTGTCTGGATGGCCTGAGCACTGCCCTAATCCTGAGTTTCAGAGTTTCTGGTCCAAAAGGAACGAGTTGTCCACTTCTCAGGGTTGTCTGCTTTGGGGAAACAGAGTTGTCATTCCCACCTCAATGAGGACTAGGATCTTAGAGTCCCTCCACGAGGGTCATCCTGGCATTGTTCGCATGAAGGCCCTTGCGCGCAGCCACTTGTGGTGGCCTGGTTTAGATAAGGACATTGAGGCTAAGGTGCATGCATGCCACCTGTGCCAGCGCTCTCGCCCAGAGATGCCCCAAGCTCCTGTGCATAGATGGGAGGATACACAGTCCCCATGGTCTAGGGTGCACATTGACTACGCTGGGCCCTTTCAGGGCCAGTTCTTCTTGGTCCTCGTTGACAGTCATTCAAAATGGCTTGAGGTTGTACCTGTCTCATCCACCACCACTGCAAAGACTATTCAGGTACTGAGGGGGATTTTTGCTGCACACGGGCTCCCAGATGTCATCGTGTCTGACAACGGCCCTCAGTTTACTTCCTCCGAATTCCAAGCTTTCTTACAGGCTAACATGATTCGTCATGCCACGTCTGCACCCTTCCACCCGTCCACCAACGGTATGGCTGAACGCATGGTCCGCATCACAAAGGACGCCTTGAAAAGACTCACCTATGGGGACTGGCATCACAGGTTGGCTGACTTTCTCCTTTCTTACCGCACCACACCGTCCACTTCTACAGGGAGAAGCCCAGCTGAACTTCGCTGGGGGTGCAAACTTACTACGAAGCTTGACCGGTTGCATCCGGACAGACTGCCTTCACCTACCTCACATCCTAGGGCACCTAGACAACTACTTGTGGGTGCCCCGGTTTAGACTCGCAATTACGGGCCTGGTCATACATGGGTCCCCGCTTCTATTTCCAGGGTCACAGGTCCTCTATCCTACGAGGTAGCCCTGGACAACGGTCGTGTCCTGCGTCGGCACATCGACCAACTCCGCCCTAGGCGGGATCTTTCAGATGAGACTCCTGGGTCTTTGCCAGGGGGGGGGAGGGGGACCCTTTAGAGCAAAGGGAGGGGCATGAGCTGCTGCCCACCTCCAACGATGGAGCCACAAATGGCCCATTCCAGGATTCCGCGAGTGCCCCAAACAGGAATTCTAAGAGCCTATCCAACTACCAGGCATCCACGCCTACTCCAGCCAGGGAGTCACCCCAGGGGTAGAATCACTATTCACCTGCACAGCACAGTACTCCAGTCAGGGAGGATACCCGGGAGCATCCCAATAAATCATACCCCGCAAGAGAGCTGGCACATAATCCCCAGAGTCGGCCTGACCTTACCCCAAGTCCTACAGGGGGTCAAACATAGAGGGAGGTGGTCGAGGAACCAAGTCCCGACCGCAACACCTCTAGCCCAAATCAGGGAGTAACTGAGTTTTGGGAAGGTACAGAAACCCACACGAGCCCGGATACAGAACGGGGTTTAAGGAATGGACAGCCTCCTGACAGGTCTTGGACGGACCTAGGAGGTTCTACAGAGACGCCCAGCAGTGGCTATCACTTCAAGGGGCCCGAGGGCCTACAGCTAGGCAGGTCAACCAGGTCACAAAGTGACAGAAGCCCTGGCCTGACGAGCCCGGTGGGCGAGCGAGCAGGCCAGGCATTGGGGCACAGTCCTTGGAAGGCACCAAGGCATGATAAGGAGAACAGGCTCACGTCTCCCCTCAGTCAGGGAACACCTGTCAGAAACCCAGAGCTGAGAAGGTCACAGAGAGCAAGGAAATCTCCTAAATACTTAGAGGATTACATAACATTGCTGGCCAAACAAAAGCCAGTAAACAGTAGGAGCACTGGGGAGTAGAACATTGCATCAAAAAAATAATTGTATGTTGGTAGTAGTCTTAGCCCGGGGGAAAGGGGTGTTATGTCCCGAGCCTTGCAAACGGGCTCGGGGCATTTGCAGGCAGTCCCGGGCAGGTGCAAGCTGCCCGGGACCAGACAGGCTGTCGCCAGCGCCTGTGCGCATGCGCGGGTGCTGGTGCGGGAAAAGTAACACATTGACCCGGGAATCGCCTATATAAGAGGCTGGGAGCTTTTGGGCGTTGCTGAAGCCTTCACCTGTAAGCTGAACACAGAATAAATGAAAACCTGAGAACTACAACTGCTTCTCGTGTCTGCTTTTCGCCAAGGACTCAACAGGTGGGTTGTGCCCTTCTTCAAGAAGGCTGCTGTTGCTACAGAGACCCGTCTCATGCCATCCAGCAGGACACCAGGCAAACTAATGCGGCCCTACAGGTGGCAACAAGGCATGAATGGGATTTGCTCTTGGGATTAGGACTAGTTCTGGGAAGCTTCTTGGCTCCCTAATTTGGCATCCCCATTGTAGAAATGTACTCAGGGTGTTTTAGATGTTTGGGGATTGTCCTATATATCTCATTTCCTTTCCACTTGGGGCTCCTGCAAGAGAATGTTGCTTTTTTGTTCTCTGGTTCCATGCCCTGCTCTCTTCCCTAGTAGCGACAATAGCATCACCACCTGTGAGATACCGTAATACTGGATCATGTCAGGAAGCACACTAGTAAAAGCATGGACTAAAACTCTGCTTTTAAGGATCTCCTGAAATTTAGATCAATGGAATAACTTGTTTGGCTTGAACTTGCCATATCATTTATTTGACAGTGATAGGAAAATGTCAAGTTGAGTGACAGAACAGATGTTTTCCTTAAATTTGATTCCAGGCTCAATACATGGGATCCCAGACTAGAAAGAAAGCCCCACTCTGAAATCCCGGGGAGTCACTGCCAATCCTAGTCAACAACAACAAATATGAACAAGATTCAGTGGGAAACAAAAGACATCATTATTTATTTCCAGGTGATCTTACTGGAGACAATTTGTAATCCAGTAAATACATTGGATTTTCTTACCTTGTAGAGCTTCTTCAAGATTTCTAGCAACATTATTTATATTACTTTGTTGAAGGACTATGATGCACACATCTACAGCATCTTCTTTATAATACTGAATCAGGAGATCTACAACTTCTAGTCGCGTAGCTTTCTCCAATGAACTAATAGGAATGTTTTCCTTTCCATTGTGGTTAATACATTTTAGCGTCCATTTAAAGTCTTCAAACGGATTTTCTTCAAGAGCATTCAATGCTTTGCGAAGATGACTGCGCACAGTGTTGTTCATTTCAATTATGATGGATTATATCTAAAATTAGAATTAAACAATTAAACTAACTTTTTATGGAAATGAAGTTTGATGGCAACAATATTTTCTATTTTGAAATTAAACCAGATAACTCATTTACAAAGGTATTATATTACCCATTCCGTAGCAGGGTGTTTATTTATTATTTATATTAAACCAGTTTAATAAAGTTACTTTTTCCTCATATACAGCCCTTTCTAATCAATAATCATAAGTTCATTTTTATCCATTTTGAGCAAACAATCTGTAAGGGATTTTCCATCTTTTATACAGTGATTGTTGTACCCTCCCTAATCAAACTACTCCATGTAGGCATTTCTGTAAATTCTACCATCTTCACAATCTACTCCTCTTTTGTGGGTATTCCTATATTTTCCCATCTTGGTACATCTAATAGCCTCCCTCAGTGACCATATATAAAATCAATCATCCATGAGTTTTTAAAATTATCTATCCGTAAGTTCTAGTAAGAAAAATTCTGGTTTCACCTGAATATTTTTTTTAATTCTCTGCTTAATCATACATATTGGCATCCAATAATTTTTTTGTTATTTCACTAGTCTGCCATGCATGATAAAATATTCCTTTATGGTTTACACATTTCCAACCGTACTTAGAAGTACTTTTATACAGATAAAAGTCTTACAATAGATCATTTTTACAGGGATCAATTTTTGACCATAAGGCAATCAACTGAAGTTGCCGTAGACTTTGTCACTTAGAGATATATTGGGAGGACAATACTGTCAAAATAAGAAACACCAGCCAATGTGTACACCTGGAAGGAAAACAGCCCTGTATTTGAAATGGTTGTCCTGAGCCAAAAGAAATAACAAACAGAACTATAAGAAACACAGACAAAAAATCCTCTGCAAAACTCCTGCTTCTTCCTTCCCTGGGGACAGATCAATTGACCGCCATCTGTAAATTATGCTAGCCATCTCTTTTACTAAAATGCAATAGCCACATTCTCCTCCCTTCTTCAAGCAGCTACAGCTAAAAAGAAAGAGAGTAAACAAGCTAGGATGGAGAGGAGGAAGAACCATAGCAAGGCAAACTTCATGAAGATGAAGCATGGAAGAAGGTAAAAAGAGAGAGAGAGAAAAGAAGAGTGAGAAGCAATCATTAATTATACACTGAGAAACAAATCTTAAGCAGTGCCTCTCCAACTATAACTCATCTTCAAACCAATCTTTTAAGGCATCCATGGTTTATAACAGCAGCCTCTGCGGCTCTGGGAACCTCCAGCCCAATCCCTCCTTTTCCACATCTTCTCTCCTCTCAGAAAAGGAAGTGCAGTACAGGATCTCCTTCACAACATTTACTGGGAAAACCTTACCTTCCTGCTCTGTATCTGTATAATCAGCTTATGATGGCCAAGAGCTGTGGTTTGTTGACCCAGTGCAAAGGCCAATCAATTACACAGAGTTCAGGAAAGTGGAAATTTGTCACATATTTCTGCTCAGAAGCAAAGGGCTTCTCCATTAGCAAACAGAGGAGCTCAGAGGAACCACAATAAGACTGGCATTGTATTTCTTACACTTCAGAATACAGGAAATTAACAACAGCACTACAATGATTTGTTACAAACTTATCGTTAAAATAGCATGTGTACAAGTACAGGAAATTAAGTCAAATCCTTGACTTATGGCCACAACTGAGGCCAAAATTTCTGTTGCTAAGTGAGACACTTGCTAAGTGAATTTTGCCCCATTTTACAGTCATTCTTGCTACAGTTGTTATGTGAATTATTGCAGATGTTAAGTTAGTAACAGGATTGTAAGGTGAATTTGGCTTCCCCATCTATTCTGCTTGTCAGAAGTTTGCAAAAGTTGATCATGGAACCAAGGAACACTACAACAACTATCATAAATATGAGCATCTGAATTTTGGTCACATGATGCTGAAATGGTCATGAATGTGAAAAACTGTCATAAGTCATTTTTTAATGCTGTTGTAACTTCAAACGGTCACTAAACAAACTGTTGTAAGTCAGGACTACCTATAGTGCTATTCATCTTGGAATAACACTTGTACAAGGAGTGTTCTTATCATAACTTACACCATCCCTGCTTGCCCCTCAACTCAAGCTGCAACAAGCTTCTAGTTACTGTTCTAACCCGCATCCTGCAGAGCTAAATATAATTTCTTGCTTTTCTTTAGCAAAGCATTTGGCAATGTTAGAGAATTCACCAATTTCTCTATTGGTGAAAAATAAATCAGAAGCTCTCACAGTTGACTGCATTTAGCTGATTCAAATAACTTTATATTTATATAAAAATATTTACAATACCATTCTTCTTTACAGCAACATAGCTTAATGAAGATTTCTTACAGAGACAGACCAGAGACAAAACCTGAGACTGGAAATCCAGCTCCTAACTCAATACTCTTTTGCACAGACTCAGTAGTACTTTCTTCACATTGGCTGACTGAGTTACCACATGACTCTTCCTGTTCATGAATATTCCAACAGCAGTTTCCTGTTTTACGCTTCTGTGCAAACAGGATAAACTGAAGCAAGAGGATTGTAAAAAGAAAAAAAGAGGCTTCTGTAAAATAGGTACTTTTAAGGATGAAGTTTGGAAAGGTGAAATTTGGGGTCCCAGGTTTTCAATCTCTTCTGCTGAAGCACATGATTAAATATTAAATAAAGACAGCTTGAGAAGTTGGGCTCTACTTGGCATTTCAGAACACAGAAGGTTTTGCCAACATGAAATCATAGGAATTGGCTTAATTAAAATCCTTGCCAGCAACAATACTGTAGAAGTTCTCAAGCAGGATTGAGAACGGGCCTCTGAAGTTATTTCACTCTGGCATTAAGTACTCCTGTACAAGGAGCTAGACCAGCAGTTCTCAATCTGTGGGTCGCGACCCTTTTGGGGGTCGCACAAGCCTTTCACAGGGGTCACCTAAGACCATCGGACAACACATATTTCCGATGGTCTGAGGCAGGGCTTGTCAACTGCCTTCTCTCCCTCCCCCCCTCCGCTCTACCTCACTTGTTTGTGGAAAATACAGTTCAGCAGTCTGCATGAACTCTACCAAATGTGCCCTGCAGGGGGCGCATGAAGAGCACAGGCGCAGAGCAAGGCCCCGCCCTCCCCAGAGACTCATTGTGCAGCAACCGGATTGACTTCTTCTCGTGCACGCAGATCAGCCAAGGGGAGGCTGTTGCAGCACCCAACTCCTGCGCCCGTCAGCTGGCAACCCCCGAACTTGCGCCAGCTGATGCAAGAGGGAGGGAAGGAGGAAGGGACTCTTCCTCCTCTCCTAAGCTTCAAAGCAGGATCGGCTTCCCAAGGGTGCCACAATCCTCACGAAAGCGGGGGAGGGGGGAGAAGCAAAGGGGGCGAGAAAGCTTGCGGCGGGCTCAAAGCAGCACCTGCCAGCGTTGGTGATGAGAAATTCCCCACAAACCCAGGGAAGGGGTGGAGAAAAGGAGCCCCCTTTGGGAGGAAACAGCCACCTTCTTCTCCTTGGCTTTGCACTCTTCTGTTTCTCGGCAGCTGGGCTGGCAAGCCTCTCCAGACTGGAATTTCCTTTCCTTCCCTCCCTCTTGGTCTCTTCTTCCTTCCCTCCCTCTCCCATTGTCCCTTCCTTCCTTCCTTCCTTCCTTCCTTCCTTCCTTTCCTTCGCCTCCCTCTTTGTCCCTCCTTCCCTCTCTCTTCCCCTTGTCCCTTCCTTCCTTCCTTTCACCTCCCTCTTTGTCCCTCCTTCCCTCCCTCTCCCCCTTGTCCCTTCCTTCCTTCCTTCCTTCCTTCCTTCCTTCCTTCCTTCCTTCCTTCCTTCCTTCCTTCCTTCCCTCTTGTCCAGGATCGGGCGAGCCTCTACAGCTGATCCGCGCTTCTGCAGCTGTAGCTGCTCTCCTTGGCTCCTGCCCAGCAAACTTGCTCACTAGAAAACATGCACTTGCTAATTTAGCAGAAGGCATGAATCACCTGGCGCTGATCCTGGAGCTTCTGCTAACTTAGCAAGCTGCATGCCTTTCGGCGAAGCTGAGCAAGTGAGCTGGGCGAGCTCTCCTCTGTCTCTGGCTGTGCACAGGCAGGTTTGCCGTCAGTAAAGCCCCAGCCACGCTGGTAGCCTATCCCCCTCCCCTTGTCCCATCCTGGGCACGGAGGGGGGGAGGAAGGAAGGGAGGAAGAGGGACGGAAGTAAGGAACAATGAGAGAGGGAAGGAAGGGAGGAACAATGGAAGGAGGAAGGAACAAAGAGGGAAAGAAGGGAAGAAGGAAGGAAGGGAGGAAGGAAGGAAGGAAGGAAGGAAGGAAGGAAGGGACAGAGGGAGAGAGGGAGGGAAGGAGGAAGAGACTAGGGAGGGAAAGGAAAGGAAGGAAAGAAGAAAGGAAGGGACAATGGGAGAAGGTGGGAAGGAGGAAGAGACTAAGAAGGAGGTGAAGGAAATGAAGGAAAGAAGGAAGGAAGGGACAATGGGAGAAGGTGGGAAGGAGGAAGAGACTAAGAAGGACATGAAGGAAAGGAAGGAAAGAAGGAAGGAAGGAAAGGACAATGGGAGAGAGGGAGGGAAGGAGGAAGAGACTAAGCAGGAGGTGAAGGAAATGAAGGAAAGAAGGAAGGGACAATGGGAGAAGGTGGGAAGGAGAAAGAGACTAAGAAGGAAGTGAAGGAAAGGAAGGAAAGAAGGAAGGGACAATGGGAGAGAGGGAGGGAAGGAAGAAGAGACTAAGAAGGAGGTGAAGGAAAGGAAGGTAAGAAGGAAGGAAGGGACAATGGGAGAGAGGGAGGGGAGGAGGAAGAGACTAAGGGAGGGGAATGAAAGGAAGGAAGGAAGGAAGAAAGAAAGGAAGGGACAATGGGAGAGGGTGGGAAGGAGGAAGAGACTAAGAAGGAGGTGAAGGAAAGGAAGGAAGGAAGGAAGGAAGGAAGGAAGGAAGGAAGGAAGGAAGGAAGGAAGGAAGGAAGGAAGGAAGGGACAATGGGAGAGGGAGGGAAGGAGGACTAAGCAAGAGATGAAGGAAATGAAGGAAAGAAGGAAGGAAGGGACAATGGGAGAGGGAGGGAAGGAGGAAGAGACTAAGAGGGAGGTGAAAGAAAGGAAGAAAAGAAGGAAGGAAGGGACAAGGGGAGAGAAGGGAGGGAAGGAAGACAGGCACCCACCCCAGTCCCATCCCAGAGACCCACAGATCCCCCCCCATAGGCACTGTGCAACCTGAGTGATCAGCTGGCCACGCCCCCTGGCCATTGATTACATGACCCTGGGACACTGTGAACGTCATAAGTATGAATCAGTTGTCAAGCATCTGAATATAAATCACACGACCCTGGGGATGCTGCAACAATCATAAGTGTGAAAAATGATCATAATTCGCTTTTTCAGTGCTGTTGTAACTTCAAACAGTCACTAAGCGAATTGTTGTAAGTCGAGGACTACCTAAACGTTCCCATTTTTTTCCTTTTTTGGGGGGTCAAGTTTTTGATACCCCCCCGGCCAGCTGGATGGGGTGTTGGGGGTCACCACAACATGAGGAACTGTATTAAAGGGTCGCGGCATTAGGAAGGTTGAGAACCACTGAGCTAGACCTTCTGAATCTCCAAGCATAACTTCCGAGAAAACTTACCGTACTTCACGGCTGTCAAACTTCCGCACCTTGGGCCGGTTTCATCATACCGAAGACGCAGCCACCCCACTCCCGGCAATGCAGAGTCGTAACACATCACGTGCCGTGGCAAGTTTGACACCCGTGTTATAGACTAACGGTGGAGATCAGGGACCCTCCATTGCGAACCCCAATTCAAGCTCAGCTGAAGGGCCTCTTTCCTTTTTGGAGACGTTGCCTCCCTGCAGCAATTACGCCGCAAAGTTTCTCAAAAGGGTATAGGTTTTTGCAAAGAAGCTTCTATTACCCAAACACATATCACAAAATCCAATCTTCCCATATTTAAGCACTTAGGATGTCAGGCTTACCTTTCCATGGGGAAAAAAGGAGTCTCAAAGCAACACTGATTCTGAAATTGTAACTAAACAGATACGGACGCTACCCTTTGCTGGCCTCCTGTTAAAAGCACTTTCGTTTTCAAAAGTGCCCCTCCCTTCTTCCTTGTAGTTGAGTCGCATTTCCTCTGCCATGTCCTCACGCAGCTGCTTCAAGAGAGGAAAAGTTTCACAGAAGTCCTGCTTAATTGGCCATATCAAATAAAAGGGCCTTTCCTCCACAAAGGTTTGTGAAGATACGCACTTGCTGCTTCATTTAATGTTGCTTTTTTGTTTGTTTTTTAACCTCCTGCAGAATTGTAGTACCAGGAAAGGGTTTTTGCAACATGCAGATTCTTTTTCTCCCATTTGCAAGAGAGAGAGAGGAGGCCAAGGACCTGGGGGAGGCCTACAGTGAAGACAAAACTCTTCTCCTGAGGGGAATCCAAGTCTGGAAAATGGTCCCCTCCCTTTTCACCCTCAGCTCTGTGAGAGAAGTATTTGCCTAACTTTAATGTTCCTGTCAACTCCCTTCTGAAACTTTTCCTCTTTGTGAGTTTGTGACTCTATTGCTATCAGTCTTGCTATTGAACTTTGGAAACTAGCATTGACGTTGCTTGATTGACTCTTGATGGACATTAACTTGTGAATTTGATTAGATTTCCTTCAGTAGGTTTGGGTTGGTGCTTATGCCAGCTTTCTGTTAATGGGCATCAATTATCCCATTGAAGTCTACTTGATATAAGCAGCTGTTGATTTTCTGGCTATAGTTTTTTTTACAGGTCTTACTCTGGAGGTAGCATTTTCCATTGCTGGCCCTTTTGTTTACTTCATGGACTGACTGCTGAGAGCACTTAGCAATTTCTCCTTTCCACTTCATCCTGAGAGGAGCAGCCAGGATGCCCCCAGACTCAAGTCCTGCAAGCTGATTGTCAGCAATGAGTGCATTGCCAATTCAGCAAGATTTTATATAGCTGTTATGTTTTGATATGTACTCAATATATCAATAGAAGCCAGATTACTACTGTGTGTTAGTGTGGTAATAGGGATTCATTAATACAAGTGCATTCCAAATAAAAACATTAACACTAAAATACTGAAGATGCTTCAATACACTTTTATTCTTACTCTGTATAGTAACTACCCCTCATCACAAAGATGATTAGGGGACTGGAGGCTAAAACATATAGGGAACGGTTGCTGGAATTGGGTATGTCTAGTTTAATAAAGAGAAGGTCTAGGCATGACATGATAGCAGTGTTCCAATATCTCAGGGGCTGCCACAAAGAAGAGGGAATCAAGCTATTCTCCAAAGTGCCTGAAGGCAGGACAAGAAGCAACGGATGGAAAGTAACCAAAGAGAAAAGCAACCTGGAACTAAGGAGAAATTTCCTGACAGAACAATTAACCAGTGGAACAACCTGCCTCCAGAAACAGTGAATGCTCCAACAATGGAAGTTTTTAAGAAGAGACTGGACAGCCATTTGTCTGAAATGGTATAGATTTCCTGCCTGAGCAGGGAGTTGGACTAGATGACCTCCAAGGTCCCTTCCAACTTTATTATTATTATTAATTCAGTCAACTCTCTAAGATTTTACTTTGTTTGGAATTACTTCAGAACTATGTGGCCTATTTGAAAATATTCAAATTGGCTCACTGGTTCTGGCCTTTTAAAAGAAAGAATCTCAAAGGATTTTTATTTTGTTTGAAGAACCAGAATGCCCACTTCTCCTTGGGAGTTCAGTTTGATTACCCCTATTATATTATAAGGCACTATCAAGTAGGTATTACTCTGGGAAAAAAAATCAATCAAAATTTATTGAGGTAACAGGAAAACCAGAAAACAATTTATAGAAAAATTGTGAGAAGTTGGTGTAAAATGTTCAACCCTGAGCTAAATATGTTCTGCTCTGTTGATATATAGATTTCATAAGGATAGAAACAGACTAATTAGCTACTGTACAGCAAAATAATTGCAGTGCATAATGCAAAATCAGTGGCTAATAGTTTTACTTTCCATAAGAATATTTATTTCCACTCTTTCCTAACCTATTTAAAAATTGGAAGCTGTTCAACATAATGGATGATATAATTTCTATATATCCAGTGATGGCTCATAAATTTTCGATAGTTTTCCGGTTCAGAAAAAAATACCAAGAATACAGGAGAATGTAAGGAAAGGAAAGAAATTCTAAACAGCAAAAGGTTTTTTCTTCCCTGAATAAATGTACAGAGTAGTCTAGTCTATGTCTGCCCTAAGGAAGAGAAATAAAGATTCACAGTTTTCAAACGGATTACAATCAAATCTTCTTTTAGCACCTAGAAAGAAGGCCTTCTCAGATGTCCACAAAATCAAAACTATTTGCCAGGCTATGATGAAAAAGAATACAATATTAAAACCCCATCAAACAATCATGACAAGTGGAAATGGTAATGAATGTGTCTGTGAGAGGACAGGCCACTTACAAAATGGCCAGCACCTGTGCTGCTGTTATCCTGCCTCTTTAAGGCCTTTCCCCAGACAGCATAGCAACAGTTGGTTATAAAAATGGAGCAGAGAGGCAACTGGGTGTGGTAATGTTGGTGCTGTGTGTTTGTCTTTAGAGATAAAGCAGCCTGAAATGGCTGGAAAGAGAAATTGTTCTCCAGCAATGGGACTAATAAGGAGTAGTAGTTGAAGGAGCAGTAGATGTAGTAGATGTGGGAAAGAGTAGAATAGTCAGTAGTATGCCTTCTGAATATGCCATACAGCGCACAGCGGAGACGGCAAGCGTAATTGGTGCCGGCTATGCCTTCTGGATACACTGTACAGCATATAGCAGAGACGGTAAGTGTAGCCAGCGGCAGCTATGCATTCTGGATATGCTGCATGGCAATGGCTACGCCTTCTGGATACAATATACGGTATACTTTATGCTGTAAGTATAGCCGGCACCAGCTACGCATACTGGATATTGTACATTATACAGTATACAGGATGCGTAGCTGGCACCGGCTACGCTTATAGTATACAGTGTACAGTATACAGTATACGTAGGTGGTGCCGGCTACATATACAGAATACAGTGTACAGTATACATTATACAATATATAGTATACAGTATATAGTATACATAGGTTGCGCTGGCTACCTTTACAGTATACGCTGTATAGTATACAGTATGCGCATCCGGCACACAGCAGAAACGGCAAGCATAGCCGGTGCCGGCTATGCCTTCTGGATACGATGTACAGTGTACAGCAGAGACGACAAGCATAGCCAGCACCGGCTATGCCTTCTGGATACACTCTACAGCGTACAGCGGAGAAGGCAAGCATAGCCAGTGCCAGCTACGCCTTCTGGATACAGTATACAGTATACTCTACATGGTAAGTGTAGCCAGCGCCGGCTACGCATACTGGATACTGTATACATTATGTGTAGCCGGCACTGGCTACGCTTACAGTACTTACAGTATATAGTGTAAAGTGTACACTGTACAGTATAGAGTATACGTAGGTGGTGCTGGCTACGTTTACCATATACAGTATATAATATACAGTGTACAGTATACAGTATACGTAGGTAGCACCAGCTACGCTTACAGTATACGCTGTACAGTATACAGTATGTGCATCTGGTATACAGCAGAGACGGCAAGCATAGCCAGCACCGGCTACGCCTTCTGGATACAATGTACAGCATACAGCGGAGATGACAAGCATAGCCAGTGCCAGCTACGCCTTCTGGATACGCTCTACAGTGTACAGTGGAGATGGCAGCATAGCCAGCGCCAGCTATACCTTCTGGATACAGTATACAAATACTCTACGTGGTAAGCATAGCTGGCACCGACTACGCATACTGGATACTGTATACATTATACAGTATATGTAGGTGGCGCAGGCTACGTTTACAGTATGCAGTATATAGTATATGTAGGTGGCGCCAGCTACGCTTACAGTATACACTGTACAGTATATAGTATGTGCATCCAGCATGCAGCGGTGCCAGCTATGTCTTCTGGATACGCTGTATAGCATACAGTGGAGATGGCAAGCGAAGCCGGCACCGGCTATGCTTTCTGAGGGAAACAGTTCAAGAGAAAAGGATGTTTTAAAAATAAACAGGATGAGTGCACTAAAACCAAAGAATAAACTGTGAATTTCTGCCGGAATGACAACATGCCCATATATGGTAGTATGTCAGATGTTGAGGAAACCTGAGCAGGCAAGGACAGAGATAATGTATTCCGGTTAGGCGCTTCTGATAGATTGTGACCTCTGTGGATCTTTCCAATGGGACCAAAGGGGAAGGGAAATGGGGCGTCGCGATAGGATGTATAAAAATGACTGCTCAATGTGGCTCACGTGTGGTCCGTTGCTTGAGAATTTCCTGCGTGAAGTCTTGACTTGGATCCATTGCACTTTGCAAACCGCTCTTTTTCTTTTCTTTGTTAGCAATAAATTTTGTTTTCTTTGCAACCCAATTAGTGGATTTAATTTGTTTTTAAATTCATGTGCAACAGTTTTGGTGCCCAGCCGGTGGGGCTAGAGGAACACTCATTTCCAGATCCCGGAGAACCTGGAGAGAACATCGGAAGGCATGCCCCGTTGAGTTCAACGGTCTGATCTCAAACTCCAGGGACCAAAGTCTGGAATTGATGCTAGCTTCCATGGAACCAAATAGAAGTTGCTAGGAAAACGACGGAAGGAGGGATCAGCGAATTACCGGCCTCAGTGACTGGGCAACTTTGTGCACAAACCTAGGTGAGTTATCTGGGGTAAACAGGAGGAAATAATTGCCTAGGCAGTCAGGTGGAGGACTGGGTAGGACTGTGTGAATCTGAGATCTGTGAGAGGAGTGCTTCAGATGCCCCAAGAACCACAGGGTTGTAAGGCGAAGTGAGTGTGGATTCCTGAATACCTGATTTGGTGGGGAAAAAGAGAAAGCGGCTTGGTGAAGGTAATTGTAGTCTCATTAGATTGGTAAGGATAAAAGAACAGTACGGTAAACCAGTATGAGTAATTCAGGAGGACCTGAAAAGAAGAAATGTGTAAAGAAAATAAGAAAGAATCCCAAATTGAGCATTGATCAGTTGTTTAGAAAGTGGTGGCATTGCAACCTCAGAACATTCTGGAGGAAACAGATTATTCTACCCTTTTCATTCAGGTTTCAAGCCCAGATACAAGATAGAAACAACATTGGTTACACTCATGGATGGCCACTGATGGGACCGGGGTGGACATGGTGCATCCATCCTTGCTTTTCTTGACCTTTTGGCTGTTTTTGATACCATGGTATCCTTTTGGACTGACTTAGGGAGTTGGGGGTAGATGGCACAGTTCTGTACTGGTTCACTTCCTTCATCCAAGGCTTGTCCCAATCAGTATTGATAGGGAGTGAGAGGTCCATCTCACAGCCCTCCTTTGTGGAGAATTGCAGGACTCAGTACTTTCTCTGCTACTTTTTAATATCTATATGAAAGCGCTAGGTGTGATCATCCATTACTATGGGATGAGATATCAGTACGCGGATGATACCCTGTTACATATCTCCATCCCAGGTAAAGTGAGTGATGATGTGGATGGTCTCTCTCAGTGTCTGGCGGCTATGGAGGCCTGAATGGGGAACAACAGCCTTGAACTGAACCTTGTTAAGACAGAGTGTCTGTGGTTGGGCCTCTCTGTATTCAACAGTTTAGCATCATTGGTTTTTGATAGGATTGCACTTCCCCAGAAGGGGGAAAGGGAAGCTGCTTCACTGGTACAGAATATGGCCCCATGGGCAATCTTGGGAACCCAAAGAACATTACATGTAACACTTTTGCTGCATGAGTTTCTGTAATGCATGCGCCTCCACTCTCTTCTCTGGATGCTAGTTTGGAGAAGGAGGAGTGGTCCCTGGCACCTCTGGGGAAGATAGGACAGTTAGCCTGGGAGCTGTTGGAGATGCGGATCAACCAGACTGGCAGCTGGCTGAGTTGGCCAGAGACAAAGTTAGCTTGGAAGCTACAGGAGGGGAGTGAGAGAAGCTGCCAGCAGTCAACATGGATGAATTGAAGGAGTTACCTCTCCCCCAGATCCAAGGGTGTGAAGAACTGTGAGGTGATAGGAACAATGCTGTCAGACAGGTTACTCGTGAGGTGGCAGCCTCGTTTATCATGAAGAGCTATACCAGCATTAATTAAGCCTTCCCAAAGAGAAGGATATTACTGAAACAACATGTCTCATTGCCTTGTTTCATGCTCCTGTTTGCCATGTTTCTTACTTAAGACTCATGTAATGGACCTTGTATTGATGCCTTGATCTCATGTCTTGCCTCACAGACTACTACTGCCCTTGGATTCTTGCCTTGTTGAGCACTTTTGTTCTGGTTGCTGCCTAACTTCATTAATTGGAACCTCTCTTTTTGTCTGTTTCTTAGAGTCTCTGGTGAACCCAGGGGGAAATGAGAGTTTTCGTTATTCAAGAACTGCAGGGAACTGAATACTTGGACACAGGCAGTTCAGTAAAGACCTTTAACCCACTACAGTGTGTGTGTGTGAGCGAGTGGGACAGCGCAGTTTCATATGATGCCAGTCTGCTTCTGGGTCCAGTTCAAAATATTGGTTATGACTTTTAAAAACCTACATGGCAAGGAGCCAAAGTACCTACAAGCCATCTTAACCCCATTACTTCGGCACATCCCATCCTGTCAAGCAGGGACGGACTCTGCTGTGGACTCCATCACCTAAAAATTCCCACTGGCAGCAACCAAGAAGAGTTCCTTCTCTGCCATTGCCCCATTCTCTCCCCTGAGGTGAGGTGGACCCTCCTCTCCTGGCCTATCAGAAATGTGTAAAAACATAGCCCTGTGGTCTTCCTTGGGGCACACAGAAGAACATGCCACTATAGAGGTAGTTAGCACCCTGAAAGTCATCTCCCTGCCTTTTAATTAATTTTTCATATTCATTTTTACTCCATTCTTGCCTTTTTAAATTGCAATTTTTATTTATAAAATTTTTATGTTTTAATATTTTTTACTTGTACACTATCCCATCTATCTCTTAGGGAGGGGAACAGTTTTAAAAAATTCATAAATAAATAAACCCTTTTAAGTATCTCCATTAAATTTATATATATGGTTGAACTTGGCTTAACTATTTTTCTTTTCCTTTCTTTTCTTTTTTCTTTTCTCTTTTCTTTCTTTTTTTATAGTGATAGGAAAGTGCCAAATTGATTGAAAAAACAGATGCTTCCCTTAAATTTGATTTCAGGTCCAAGACTAGAAGACATTGCAGACTAGAAGGAAAGCTTCTCTCTGAAATCCTAGGGACACACTGCCAATCCTAGTCAACATCAATGAATTAGTTGAACACGATTCAGTGGGAGACAGCTCCCCAAATCACAATTGATGTTTATTTTCGGTTGATCCTACATGAGAGAACTTTTCTATAATTCATTGGATTTTCTTACCTTTCTGCAAAGTTTCTTCAAGTTTTTTAGCAACATCATTTTTACAACATCTGTAAAGAATCTGATGAAACAAAGGGTTCAAGAAGAACGGACACCTTGCCATTTTACCACCAAAATGTAGGTTTAAACCTGAGATTATGCATGGAGATTCATCTTTCTACAGTAAATATAGAAAACATAACTAAATTTATCATGGTAAAGTTCTTGAGAAGCCCAATCCAACATGACTTTTTGGGCCATTGTGGTTTTTCCAATTCCTGCAGCTCCTTGCAACACAACAATTTGTGGAATTAGTCCACATTTATCAGGGTTAAATAACATTTCAATGCTGGTTGAAGACTGGGCTCTCTTGCTGATGATTTCAATATGTTTCCTTCCTGTTCTAGAATTTCATGTTCTCTTTCCTTTTGAGACAGTTGACAATCTAGGATGATTAGCTTTGAGTTTCTCTGATTTAGGGGAACATATTCACCAAGAATAGAATTAGGATCTTCAATCATTTGAAATTTTTTTTTTTAACATGGCTTCTGTAATCTAAAGCAAGAAAAAAATCAAATTACAAGTGTCAAAAATAAGGCCTACAAAAGACACTCAATTAAATTTTTGTTGCTGGGTCTTCTCCTTGAAGCCCCCCCCCCCATCTATCCTCTGGATTAATGTGTTTACAGGAATTGCAGGATACTCTATTAATTAATCAAAATAGGAATTGATTTCAATAGGCAAACATTTGTTAATCAATACATTACATAATTATTATTTATTAACTATTTAGTTGTTCTTTTTCTACATAATATTTCTGTAATAATTGCAATAAACACTAGTATATAAAGATGTTTCTTTGGACATTGCTAGACCGAACTTTTTAAACCTTACCCCTTTGGGATATGGTAAATACTCTCAGAATGAATTTAATATGAGCGTAATATATATTGTGTGTTATGTCCCGAGCCTTGCAAACGGCTCGGGCGTTTGCAGGCAGTCCCGGGCAGGTGCAAAGCTGCCCGGGACCAGACAGGCTGTCGCCAGCGCCGTGCGCATGCGCGGGTGCTGGCGCGGGAAAAGTAACCCATTTACCCGGGAGTTGCCTATATAAGAGGCTGCGAGGCGTTTGGGCGAGGCTGAAGCCATCTTCCTGTAAGCTGAACGCTGAATAAATGAAACTGAGAACTCCAGCTGCTTCTCGTGTCTGTTTTCCTGCAACACTCAACACTGGCGACGAAGGTGGGATGCCTTGCACTACCTGGAAAGGAAGAAGTGTAAGCTTACCCAAGGAGTCCTGAGCGGCGAAAGAGGAACGGCGTCGACTCGGCAGCTGCCCGCCAATCCGGTGCGCATTCGGGGGTAGGCTGGCTGATAGACCCGTCTCCTGAAGATCCGAAGATGGCGAAAATCGGAAGGCTTTCGGAATTCGACGTCTCACATCCAGAGCGGTGGGAGTCCTACGTATCCAGAATGGAGAACTACTTCAAGGCAAACCAAGTGAGGGAAGATAGCTTGAAGGCGGCCACCCTGCTTTGCGTTTGCGGCCAAGACGCCTTCGAAATCGCAGAAAACCTTGCAGCACCTGTCCCAGTAGAGTCTGTAAGCTACGCAGACCTGAAGAAGCTGCTGAAGGAGCATTTCCATCCCAAGGTGTCCGTTATCTCATGGCGCCACACCTTCGAACAAAGGGATCAACGGTCCGGTGAGTCAGCCAAGGAATACATCGCCGCGTTACGGAAGGCCGCCAAGCCCTGCGAGTTCAAGGACCTCGAGGAACGACTGAGGGACCGATTCGTGTGCGGGTTAAGGCATCGCGAGCTACAACAGAGACTTTTCGCAAAGGAAGAATTATCCTTCCAAGACGCCTTAAGGGAAGTCACCGCAGAAGAAGCAGCAGGCGGCGCCGTCAAAAACATGCGGCCGATCAGAAACAGTGCAGAGGGTGCGTCCGTGCACCAGGAAGACGTCCGACGAAACTCCGAGGAGGATCCGGACGAGGAAGTCGACCGTCTACACCCCGCGAAGGAAGAGAACCAGAAGGGAAGCTCTTCGGCTCCGCTCAAGTGCATCGGCTGTGGAGGTCGCCACAGGAGAACCGACTGCAAGTTCCGCTCCGCTACCTGCCGGGCATGCGGCAAACAAGGGCACATTGCAGCTGTGTGTCTGAGCCGACGAAAGGCACAACCCCAAGAAGAACGCCTGAAAGGTACCAGATTCCCCAGCCAGAATAGGGTAGGTTTTTGCGCTTCGCGAAGAAGCATCTGTAGAACAGGCACACACAAGCCCATGAAGAAAAAGCTGTCACTCAACGTGAAGCTACAAGGGGTTCCATTATCTATGGAACTAGACACAGGGTCTGCCCTGTCCATCATTTCATTGCATACATTTAGGAAGATTTGTTCCAGAAGTGGGTCTAAGGCCAAGTTAAGGCCTTCTGATATTGTATTAACAGATTTTCAGAACTCAAGAGTGTGTGTTAAGGGGGAGGCCACCCTTAACGTGCAATACAAGAGTTTTGAAGGTCCACTAGACTTATTAGTAGTAGGGGGTGAACGAACGAGTCTCATAGGACTCGATTGGTTTGAGGCCCTGGGGATACACGTCACAGGACTCAATAGCTTACAAACACTCGACCTACAGGAAGTCTGCACAGAATTTGCAGATGTTTTCAGCCCCCAGCTGGGCACATTCAAAGGACCACCTGTGTCCTTAAAGCTAGACCCCACTGTCACTCCCATTAGGATTAAAGCAAGAAGGGTCCCTTTTGCTTTAAAAAGTAAGATTGACACTGAACTAGACAAACTAATCCAACAGGGAATCCTAGAACCTGTTGATTCCAGCCCGTGGGAGACCCCCATTGTCACGCCTCTAAAGGCAAATGGGGACATTCGCATTTGTGCTGATTACAAATGCACACTCAATAAGGCATTGCAGCAACATGCCTATCCTGTTCCTGTGGTCAGTCACATCCTGGCCTCTCTCAAGGGGGGGCGTGTTTTTGCAAAGCTTGACCTAGCTCAAGCATATCAACAGCTGCCTGTTGATGATGATGCTGCCATAGCTCAGACCATTGTGACCCACAGGGGAGCCTTTAAAGTAAAAAGGCTACAGTTTGGAGTAAATGTCGCTCCTGGGATTTTCCAAAGCGTAATGGAAAACACACTACGAGGTATACCAGGGGTCTGCCCCTACTTTGACGATGTCTTGATTGCAGGAGACTCCACACACATTCTAGCTGAAAGGCTTAGGGCTGTCCTGTTAAGATTCAGGAAATCAGGCCTCAAGCTCAGAAAAGACAAATGCCAGATTGGGGTGCCTTCTACTGAATTTCTGGGATTCAAAATTGATGCTGCTGGGATTCATCCTGCTGAATCCAAACTAACTGCTATTTTAGATGCACCCAGGCCAAAGTCTAAGGCCGAACTTCAGGCCTTTCTAGGCCTCCTGAATTTCTACAATTCTTTTCTTCCACATAAAGCTAGTGTAGCTGAGCCTCTTCACAGGCTACTAGACAAACAGGCTGTGTGGCTGTGGTCACAAGCGCATGAGGCTTGCTTTAAAGAAGTCAAGGCCTTGCTCACTTCTAACAGTGTTCTTGCACATTTCAACGAGTCTCTCCCTGTGTGCATCGCTTGTGATGCGTCCCCCTACGGGGTTGGAGCTGTCCTGAGTCACCTCAGGTCTGATGGAACTCAGGTTCCTATTGCATACTACTCCAGAACACTGTCTTCTGCCGAGCGCAACTACGCTCAGATAGACAGGGAGGCTCTGGCTGTTGTTGCTGGAATTAAAAAATTCCACGATTTTCTATATGGCAGGCATTTCACGGTCTTCACTGACCATAAGCCTCTGCTGGGACTGTTTACCACACGTAAGCAGACTCCCCACATCATTTCCCCTAGAATGCTTAGGTGGTCTATTTTCTTGTCTGCATATGATTTTCCATTACTCCACAAGCCTGGGAAAGAAATGGGCCATGCTGATGACCTCAGTAGATTGCCTCTGCCAGTAGTAGAAGCTGACCCCGCGCCAGCTGTCAACATTCTATCAATCCAAGCCTTGCCCGAGCTCCCTCTTAGTGCCAGGGATGTTACCGCTGAAACAGGTACAGATCACACACTTTCACGTGTCCGCTCCTGGGTCCTGTCCGGGTGGCCTGAGCACTGCCCTAGTCCTGAGTTTCAGAGTTTCTGGTCCAAAAGAAACGAACTGTCCCTTTCTCAGGGTTGTCTGCTTTGGGGAAACAGAGTTGTCATTCCCACCTCAATGAGGACTAGGGTCTTAGAATCCCTCCACGAGGGTCATCCTGGCATTGTTCGTATGAAGGCTCTTGCACGCAGCCACTTGTGGTGGCCTGCTTTAGATAAAGATATTGAGGCTAAGGTACACGCATGCCACCTGTGCCAACGATCTCGCCCAGAGATGCCCCAAGCTCCTGTGCATAGATGGGAGGAAACACAGTCCCCATGGTCTAGGGTGCACATTGACTACGCTGGGCCCTTTCAGGGCCAGTTCTTCTTGGTCCTTGTTGACAGCCATTCAAAATGGCTTGAGGTTGTGCCTGTCTCATCCACCACCACTGCAAAGACTATTCAGGTACTGAGGGGGATTTTTGCTGCACACGGGCTGCCAGATGTCATTGTGTCCGACAACGGCCCTCAATTCACCTCCTCCGAATTCCAAGCTTTCTTACAGGCAAACCTGATTCGTCATGCCACGTCTGCGCCTTTTCACCCGTCCACCAACGGTATGGCTGAACGCATGGTGCGCATCGCAAAGGACGCCTTGAAGAGACTCACCTACGGGGACTGCATCACAGGTTGGCTGACTTTCTCCTTTCTTATCGCACCACACCGTCCACTTCTACAGGGAGAAGTCCAGCTGAACTTCGTTGGGGGCGCCAACTTACTACTAGACTTGACCGGTTGCATCCGGACAGACTGCCTTCATCTACCTCACATCCTAGGGCACCTAGACAACTACTTGTGGGTGCCCCGGTTTGGGCTCGCAATTACGGGCCTGGTCATACATGGGTCCCCGCTTCTGTGTCCAGGATCACAGGTCCTCTCTCCTACGAGGTTGCCCTGGACAACGGTCGTGTCCTGCGTCGGCACATCGACCAACTTCGCTCTAGGTGAGACTTTTCTGCTGAGACTCCTGGGTCTTTTCCGGGGGGGAGGGGGACCCTTTGGAGCAAAGGGAAGGGCAAGAGCTACTGCCCATCTCCACTGAGGGAGCCACAAACGGCTCGTCCCAAGGTTCTGCAATTGCTCCGAAAAGAAAGTCATGGAGCTTATCCACACAACAGGCACTCACGCCTACTCCAGCCAGGGAGTCACCCCGGGGGCATACTCACTTTCCACACACATCACACAGCACTCCAGCAACGGAGGATACCCGGGGGCATCCCAACAAATCATTCCCCGCAAGAGAGCTGGCACACAATTCCCAAGGTTGGCCTGACCTTACCCCAAATCCTACAGGGGGTCAAACATACACAGAGCTAGTCGAGGAACCAAGTCCCGACTACAACAACCCTAGCACAAATCAGGGAACACCTGAGTTTTGGGAAAGTACAGAAACCCACACGAGCCCGAACACAGAATGGGGTTCAGGGAATGGACAGCCTCCTGACAGGTCTTGGACTGACCTAGGAGGTTCTACAGAGACGCCCAGCAGCGGCTATCACTTCAAGGGGCCTGAGGGTCTACAGCTAGGTAGGTCAACCAGGTCACAAAGTAACAGAAGCCCTGGCCTGACGAGCCCGGTGGGCAAGCAAGCAGGCCAGGCATCGGGGCACAGTCCTTGGAAGACACCAGGGCACAATAGAGAGAACAGGCTCACGCCTCCCTCCAGTCAGGGGACTTATGCCAGTAACCCAGAGCTAAGAAGGTCACAGAGAGCAAAGAAATCTCCTAAGTATCTAGAAGATTACATAACATTGCTGGCAAGGCAAAAGCCAGTAATCAGTGGGAGCACTGGGGAGCAAAATGTCATATAAAATAAATGTTGTATGTTGGTAGTAGTTTTAGCCCGGGGGAAAGGGGTGTTATGTCCCGAGCCTTGCAAACGGCTCGGGCGTTTGCAGGCAGTCCCGGGCAGGTGCAAAGCTGCCCGGGACCAGACAGGCTGTCGCCAGCGCCGTGCGCATGCGCGGGTGCTGGCGCGGGAAAAGTAACCCATTTACCCGGGAGTTGCCTATATAAGAGGCTGCGAGGCGTTTGGGCGAGGCTGAAGCCATCTTCCTGTAAGCTGAACGCTGAATAAATGAAACTGAGAACTCCAGCTGCTTCTCGTGTCTGTTTTCCCGCCACGGACTCAACATTGTGTATATTCCTTTTTATTCACAAAGAAAAAGAGATTGAAAGATGGGCAGATATGGGCTTCTTCAATTCCAATAGGTTTGAAAAATACGCAGTTGTAATTTGGATTTCCCAAATTTTGAATTATATCATTAGAAAATTCTTCTTCCTTCTATTCCTCTTTTCCCATAAATGCAAGGTCCACTTTTTTCAGCTATTTTGACTATTCCAAAATTGTAACAACTTCATTTAATATAAATACTCCTTCCTAGGGTTTTTTAGAATATTCCTGTATTTCATTCTTGGTTACTTGTATAGCATCACCTTCAATAGATTTTTTTTTAGGTAAGGAAATATATCTAAAATGATGGTTAGATTATTAGATTATCATCATCATTTTAGATATATTAATAGATTAGAGATAACCCTTTTAGACATAGCCTATGTTGTTATTATATCCAAGTTGAGTATTATAGTATTTTTCTTGTGGAAAATTGCATTTGATCCCTTTTCTCATGTTGAATTGATGCAGTACAATAATTCAGACCTTAAAACTGATTTTTTAAAAATCTCTATTCTGTAGAATATATGCTGAGATTTTTACTTTAAACCGATTATAGAATAATAATAATAATGTTAGTTTTAATTCTTTTAAAGAATAAATAATCTTTTTACTTTAGCATTCCACCAGTGCAACATCTATTGGCATCTAATTTTGGACCTACAGCATTTCAGCTTCAGACACACATAGATGATTAGAAAAGATCATCAAGGTTATGAAACTTAAAATCCCAGTTAGTCTTTATAAATATTAATTCCCAATAAATCATTTTGATATATAAATATTAAAAACTGAGTGGAATTGAATAAAGGGAGATCTAACCTAACAACAATTGTCTTAACATCTGTATCAAAATTTTCAATATCTTAGATTGAAATTTATTCAACGTAAAATAATATTTATATGTCTCTAATACTTCTATTAAGAAAATGGAATCAGTAAGTCATTACCTTGTTTGACATGGAATGAGAAACATGTCATTCAAACATAATTTTTGCAATATTCTAAAATTATTATATTCTGAGAAGTCATCTGTCAAGATTGAACCACATTTGCTTCATCTGAATGTTATCACTATTCAACTTGCCAAAGAACTGGTGGAGGGAAGGGTGAGATGGAATGCAGAGGCTCCAGACATTGACCATGAGAGCCAAGTAGAATAGAGCTGGAAGAGACCTTGGAGGTCTTCTAGTCCAGCCCCCTGCTCAAGCAGGAGGACCTATACCCTCTCAGACAAGTGACTGTCTAACCTCTTCTTAAAAATCTCCAGTGATGGAGTGCTCACGATTTCTGAGGACAAGCTATTCCACTGCTTAATTGTCCTCACTGTCAGGAAGTTTCTCCTTAATTCCAGGTTGCTTCTCTCTTTGGTCAGTTTCCAATAATTGTTTCTTGTCCTGCCCTCTGGTGCTTTGGAAAATAATTGGACCCTCTCTTCTTTGTGGCAGCCCCTCAAATACTGGAAAACTGTTATATCCCCCTCTTTCTTCTTTTCTTTACACTAGCCAAACCCAAGTCCTGCAGCCGTTCTTCATATATTTTAGTCTCCAGGCCTTTAATCATCTGAGTTGCTCTTCTCTGATTTTTTTCCAAACTCTCATCTTTTTTGTAATATGGTGACCAAAATTGGCTGATGTAACTTTGAACAATCGCTGAGTGTACATTAAGTAAGGACTAGCTGCAAGAGCTGCCTGTGCCTTTCAATATGATTTCTAGAGCGTCCTTGCAGCTATAACCATATGCAGGGCCAGTTCAGTGTGTAGGAATGGAAGGTTTAATAATACTTACTTTTTTTAAGTGGCTGGCTGAAGAGGAATTTCCAGCTGTAGAACTTGTTTCAATCTATTATAAAGCATTCTGCAAAATTCCTGGCTTCATAATATCACCACCGTATGTGAAATAATCAAATCTGATCATGACATGTCCAACAATTTTAATAATTGAGAACTGGAGTAATACATGATCAATGAAACGTCTTGTACTGGGTTTTCATCAAATATAATGTAAATTTTATATTTTTTCCCACTGAAATTCTTGTTGTTGCATACCAATTCTTCCGTTCAAATTCTGCATCAGTTTAATCATAGAATATTTAATTTGTTTAGTTTCTTAATTGTATTTTACCGCCCAGCAACTTATAAATGAGTTGCTCCATTTTGTCTTACAGGGTTTCCTAATTCAATAAAGTCTCTAATAATTGCCTTGGTTTTGCAATTATTTTAGAACTGTGCAGCTTATTTGAAAATACTAAAACTGGTTTGGTGCTTCTGGCCATTCTAAAGACAGAATCTCAAAGGGTTTCTATCTTGTTTGAAGAATCAGAATGCCCACTTCTTGGAAGTTCAGTTTGCTTATGCTTTTAATTTTATAAACCTTCATCCAGTAGAAAGAGGATGGCCTCTGAGATAAATTACACTGAAAAGAATCAGTTCAAAATTTATTGGGGGACAGGCAAACCAGAAACAATTTATAGAAAAATTGTGAGAACTACATGTAAAATCAGACTTACATGTTGGATTCAGGCCTGAGCTAAGTATGTTCTGCTCCGGTGATATATATATATTTCATAACAATTGAAGCAGATTAATCAGTTACAGTAAATGAAGCAATTGCAGTACAGTCAAAATCAATGACACATCAGAAATTAATCAAGGCAAAATCTGTGGACAAAGATGTCCCTTTAAATAAAAATATTAAATTCCAATCTTTCCTAGCCCTGTTCCTCATGCAAGCATATTTAAGCATTGGAAATTATTAAGCATAATGGACAATATAATTTCTATATATCCAGTGAATGTCTACAGTATGCAGGGCAGCAACCATTATCCCGGGAGAGGGACCATCCCTGCCACAACACCCAGTGGGTGCATGAAGGGCAGGAGTTGCTCAGATGGAAGAAGAGCAGAAGAAGCAAACTGGGGAGCACTTCTGGACTGGAAAAAGCCAGAAATGACTTTATTTTTCATATTGAAGCAGGAAGATTGGAGTATAGGATAACATCATACTAGGAGCCTTGGTGGTGCCATGGTTAGAATGCAGTATTGTAGGCTAACTCTGCCCATGGCTAGGAGATCCATTCTGACTGGCTCCAGGTTTACGTACCCTTCCATCCTTCCAAGGTTGGTAAAATAAGACCTAGATTCTCCTTATTTTTGTCCCAGATATGCTAACATTTGTCAAGCACTCAGAGAGTTGTGCAAAGCACTATGGAGTGGTATATAAGTCTAAGTGCTATTGCTATTGCTGTCTCATCCTCCCCTTGGAAATGGTTGGGGTTCAAACACCTGACTAGGCTATCTGGCCATGCAGATCAGCCATTTTTGCCATAAGTATATTGTCTCATTATTCGATTAGTTCATTAGCTATTGATATGTCCTCCCAAATTTCACTGGTTTTCCCTTTGTATTTTGAATCCCTTTATATTTTGAAGATTCAAAAGATCAATAAATTATGTTTTATTGTCCACATTTTCATTAATAGGTTTGTGTGCTTTCATTCCTGTTGCATTTTTCAACTGAAAAGAGAGAAAAGTCCTCAGTTCAGATTAAGTGTTTTCTGTAAAGAATGTTCTTCAGACTTTCATTTGAAATATATTAAATTCCAACTCTTCCTAACCGTATTCTACACAAAAATAAAACTAGATCAAACAAGCAAGCACAAAGAAGCAGCATTTACACTGGGGGCTCTAGCTACATGTTCCGGGTCCATCCATTCACCCTTCTGTACAATATGTTTTCCATTCAACCTATAATGAAAAAGAAAATCTTATTTTAATATGTCAACAAAAGATAAGGACCCATAATAACTCTAACAGAATGTGAAGGGACCCACCTGACCATCTTTGAGGCCAGACCCAGATGTTCAAATATAATCTGATGTACCCCATATAATTCCATTTATTTGATCACACTCTTTCCAGGCACATTTGATCTGATTCAAAAAACCTTTATTTTAATCGTCTTTAGAAGGACTCACTATCCCTATAAAATCTATCCATTTTCAGAAAGAATTCTTTCTTCTTTGCTTTGGTGTACCCACATTACTCACATTGCTCTGCATGATTTTTCCCCCAGAATCAGGTAAAAATCATAGTTTCCTCATATTTTTATTTCATCTCTCAACCTGAGTAGTGCCCCTCTCCCTCCCTAATTTATCCAGCCTGGTCCTCAGTCGATCCTCCTGATCAGTAGACAAGTAGCTCTCTTCCATGATTTCACCCCTGTCCAAGATATCACTGGGGGCCAATAAGGACCAGTTGAAAGGGCCGTACTGTGGAGCAGCCATTGGTGGATTGATCTAAGGCAGGGGTAGGCAACCTTGGCTCTTTTATGACTTGTGGACTTCAACTCCCAGAATTCCTCAGCCAGCCAAGCTGGCTCAGGAATTCTGGGAGCTGAAGTCCACAAGTCATAAAAGAGCCAAGGTTGCCTACTCCTAATCTAAGGGCTCGCTTTGATTCAAGAGAAATGTTTACTTCTGGAAGTCTTCAAGGAATACTTTGATTTAAAGTTCTATAATAAACTTTTAAGACAAATCAGGAAGTATGAAAGAAAATAGTAATCTAATAGTGATGTCATCACATTTGGAAAAGAAATGGTATGGTAACACAATAAAGGTATTACTGTTTTGATATAGGCATTGTTATATACTTTATATGATAATGCAATTGTTTTGTATCTGAAATATCAACTGTTTACCTGAACTGAATTTTATATTTAGATGTACAATTATTTGTTACTGTTACTCTCCAATTCAAAAAATGAGATTGACTGGTTCTGGATCAGGCTGAGCTACATCAGATGTGTTTTGCCTTCAAAGAGAATGAATATGAAATCCTCACTTTGTCTTGGCTTAATTAAAATCTTTTCCGGGCTCCCCCAATCTGCTCAGTATTTGGGGTTTGTAAGAATCTGGAGCAAAGTTCAAGTCTGGCTATTGGAAGACCCAATTCCACAACCAGAGAAATTTGGACAGGAGCATGAACAGAACATGCCAAGCACTGAAGATATTATCTGTGATATTTGATAAAGATGATAATGTACTGAATGGCTCTAATCTTTCCAGTTATCACACTTTTATACATCCATTCAGTGAATCTTGTCTAAATATGATTATGTTTAGATCCAATCCTGTATGTACTTGAGAAGCAGGCAGGTTTCTCTACATAAATTTGTTAGGAGAAAGTTCTGAATTCAAGTCTGGGATAGGTCACAACTAAGCACACTAGACAACTGCTTCAGATGGAGGATGGTTTGTTCAACAATGTTTCATACAGTATCAGACAGTTCTCAAAGGTGGCCAGGAGTGAAAAGGTTCGGGGCAGTAATGTTTATAGTGAGATTGAGCTTGCAGATGCATGAGCTGGAATGTATGTTTCCAAGAATATTTGAAGTCTGGTGTCTAAGGGATTTTAATGTCTGGAATGGGCTAGTTTTCTTATGATTAAGAAATTGGTAAATATTTTCAGCCTAGGCTAAAAGGCTTAAGTGTTGTGGCCTTTTGCCACATTGTGTTTCCATCATAGCATTGTTGATGGATTCACTGGATAGTGTGGTGTGTGTGGGGGGTATTAGCATGTGGAATGGATGGTAAGGGGTGGCAGGGATGGCATTCCCCCCCCTTTCTGTTCTACATTCCCACACTTTGTAAACTATTAGACAGAAATGGTTTGGATCTCATGCAATCATCAGCCCAACTTGTCTCTGCTATCTTTAAGGCAGCCATTTTTCAAACAGCAGGATAGTGTTGTGCTCATACAATATGCTACCTATGTCCCTATCTACCTTGAAAAGAAGAGGTGTGAAAAGTAACTTAACCACACCTTTTCTTTGGACTGTAAGAAAACTAATCTCAACAAACCCAATGAAGCTCAGTAACTGAAGATTCAAAAGATCAGGTTCAGAGTCTTTGCAAATCCTATACACTGTAATAGAAGAACTGAGCCAATAGGATATAAGGTTGCAGGAATGAAATCTCCTCTCCAGCAGTCTCCTTGCTCCACATACCAGCTTGGGTAAGAATCTGACAGAACTGAAATTCATTCTATAGCACCATCTTCCGATTTTATAGATAAGCCATGTGATTATAAATTGATATATATTCCCCCCTTGAGTGATGGATCGATCTCATTAGATGTATGCAGACTAAAATAACTTTATTATTTTAAAAAAAGAATGAAGAAAATGTGAACATAGGGGTTTTTTTTAATGTTACATAGTCACATGAAAAGCGATCATTAAGGGATCATCTCAAGTGAATATCCGATGGAAAAAAATTCAAGAGTTAATTCACATGGTAAGTTTGTTTTGGTCTCTTACTTCAGACTTGTTTTGTAAAATTATTCCTTGGCTTCTTTTCATAGGCTCAATACATTGTGTCATTCTCAGACTATGAAAAGACAAGTGCTTTTCCCAAAGAGAGATGGGGAGGCTGTACTTTTCCTAAAGGCCAAAGTAGCCATCCTTCCTCAGAAGGATCCCATACAAGATAGGAATGAGTCATTTACATCACACACTGCACACCGTATGGGAAAAATATCTTTTTTCTACAAAAGTTCAAATGCTTTCCTCAATCAGTTTCCTCTTGTGTATTTTTCTCACCAGGACCAAAGTGCAGTGAAAAGAAGAATCTCAGTTTTCTCTAAGAGCACCACACCCTCCCAAAACAGGCCTGCTAGAAGATCAGTGTGGTGGAGAAGGTACTGGATGAAGTCAAAGGGAGCTTCCCCAGGTGCTTCTATGGGCCCAGAGTCATCACTCACTTTCAATGCATTCAGAAGAGTGATTGATGGATGTTTTTCTTACCAGAAAGCAATGCTGAATGGGAGCAGAAATGAAATCATGGCAATCCACCAGTCACTGCCCCTAAAGTCCCCCACAATTATGTTTTATGAAGAGCAGCACCTGCCAAGCTCATTACTCAGTGTAAATTTGTTTGTTTATAAGACTTATATGACTAGCCATCTTATGCAGCACAACTCTGGGCAGCTCATAACAACAGTAAAAAGCAAAAATAAGTAAAACCAAAACATGGCAATCAGGTCATCAAATATCATGCCAGCACATTTTTCAGTGAGTCAAAGAGAGAAAAGATGCAATTAATATGATAATTTTGCTGCTGAATCTGAAGGTTTTACTTATTATCACAGTTCAATTATTATGTCTTGTGTTTTTGTACAAGAAATAGATTAAAGATATCAATGCCTTTCTCAATAAGGCAAGAAAAAAGTCCATAACAAATTTCTGTTAAACAACCAAATAAAAAATTTACATGGAATAAGTGAATAAATTCTCATTAATGAGGAAAATATGTTCAAAATATCAAAAGTAAAATACTTCACTTAATTTGATTTAAATTAAAATGTCTCTATAATAAACAAGACCTAAGAAATCAGATGACAATATAGAAACCAAGCAGAAATGAATAAACTGATAGTTTACCATAGCTCCTTTAACTTATGCCCTGAGTGTTTCAGTTCTTCCCAGAGCAGCTTCATCTCGTAGTCACTAATGCAGTCACCATGCAAATGCAATTCACGTAGTTTCTGGTTTATCTTGACAATTCCTGCAATCTGACTTCCCAGGTATTCTTTCATGTACTCTCCATTAATCCTACAGAGAGAGGTCAGAATAATTACAAATACTGGACCGGATTGGCTACCCGCAGAGTTCTATAAATGTTTACAAGCTACATTAAGCTCACCAATGAAAGAAGTTTACAATGAGGTATTACTAGAGACTAAATTACCAAACAGGACAGAAGCAAATATTACTATAATACCAAAGGAGGACACAGATAAAAATTATAGACCAATACCACTACTAAACAAAGATTACAAAATCTTCACTTCAATAATAGCAGAGAGACTGAAAAGATTTTTGATTGAATTTACTCATCTAGAACAAAATGGATTTTTACCAAAAAGACAAATAAAAAACAACTTAAGGATTATTTTAGATACATTGGAATACTTTGAAATGCACAAGTGTTGGGACTCAAATATGTGAACAACCGGTTCTCTGTGTGGATGGCTGCTTCTTGAAGTCCATTCTGGGCCTGGACAACAAAAAATTAGCTACTGGTTCTGCCAAACTGGTGCAAACTGGCTGAATCACACCACTGAAATGCACCCAGGAAAATAAATGGCACTAATTTTCTTAGATGCTCAAAAAGCTTTTGACAATGTAAGTTGGCAATTTAAGATACAACAATTAAACTGTATGGACTTTGGAGAAAAATTTATAAAGATCATTAAGACAACATATGATAAACAAACAGCAAAAGTAGTTGTTAACGGGGACTATACAGAAAACTTTAATATAAAGAAAGGCACAAGACAAGGATGTCTGCTATCCCCACTGCTATTTATACTAACTTTGGAAGTTCTCAATAGAAATATCAGACAAGATCTGGAAATCAAAGGAATGGAGGTAAAACATGAAAGCTATAAACTACAAGCATTTGCAGATGATCTGGTATTCATTTTAGAAGAACCGTTGGAGACAACTCTTAAACTATTGAAAAGAATAGAAGAATTTGGAGAAATAGCAGGATTGAAAATAAACAGAGAAAAAACCAAAGTTATAGTTAAAAACTTTACAGATAAGCAAAAAAAAAAAACTGTCAGAAAAAATAGACTTACAAATAGTTAAAAAAGTTAAATATTTGGGAATATACTTAACACCAAGATGTGCAACGGTAAAAGAAGATAATTATTTAAAATTACTAAATCAAACAAAATTAGATTTGGAAAAATGGAAAAACTTAAACTATCAGTGTTAGGAAGAATAGCTACTGTGAAAATGAATATTTTACCAAAATTCCTTTTTTTTATTTCAAACAGTACCTATAAAAATAGAGAAAAGGTTTTTTGATGATTTGAATACACTGATCTTGAAATTTATTTGGCAAGGAAGGAAAGCCTGAATTAAACTGAAAATGCTACAAGAAGCTAAAGAAAATGGAGGATTTGGACTACCAGATTGGGTCTTATACTACCAAGCATGTTCTCTAACATGGTTAAAAGAATGGATAACCCTCAGAAACAAAAGGTTGTTATATTTAGATGGATATGACTTGCAACTTGGATGGCACGCATTTTTATGATATGAAAAGAATAAACCCCATAGATATTTCCAAAATAAATAAGAACCAAACTAAATAAGAAACACATTATTATTTGTATGTAAAAAGATAAACCAAAAAATCTATAAATCCCAGGATGGCTATCAACGATGGAAGCATTTGTTTATTCAAACTTAGTTAAATCTGAGAAAATTCTAACATATAAGGATATGTTAGAATACAGATGGGAAATTAAAATCTAAACAAGAGTTAGAAGATCAGGGTATTGACTTATCATGGTGGCCTCGACTGCAAATGCAATCGAGGTACAAATAAAGATGTTAAAATATATGGCTTTTATAAAGACCAGAAAATATTTGATCAGGGTTGTTGACTTATGATGAAAAACTGATTAAGAAATTGTATAACTTTTTATTGAATTTGAAAATGAAAGATGAACAAGTGAAAAAAACAATGATAATATGGGCAAAATTTTTTGGATACAATACAGCAGACATGTCAAACATAAAGCCTGGGGACCGGATGCGGCCCGAAAAGTGGTTTCATGTGGCCCATGAAGCCATCCTGGAAACAGTGAGGGAACGGCCCCTGCTGCCTTCACTCTGGCCCAGGCCAGCCAGGAGCCAATGTATAATTTTGTGGTGGCCATCTATGCTGAACCGCATTCAGTCTTAGCTCCACAAGGCCGCCTGGAAACAGCGAGGAACCACCCCCTGCTGTGTCAGCCCCGCCCCCGGGATGCATGCTGGGGAGATGTCACCCTTTGTGAGGAATGAAGAAATGGACCATGCCTTGGCACTTGCATGCCCCACCCCCTTTTGCCAGAGACCCTCAGATCTGTCGCACTCCTGCCCAGGCCCCCGCAGGCACCCTTGACATTAACGATGTAGAGCTGGCCATGCCCACCCAGTAGGCCGCACCCACCTGGCCCCCTGGGGGCAACCGCAATGCTGATGCGACCCTCAATGAAATTGAGTTTGACGCCTCTGCAATACAGAATTAGAGAAATGGCAAAATCTTTGGGAAAGAAACTATAAATTGACAATGGCAACTTTGTATAAAGAAAACTTATATAAAATGTTTTATAGATGACATCTTCCATCTGTCAGATTAGCAAAAATGTTTAAAATATGTCTAGTAAATGCTGAAATGTAATCAAAATCTTGGTACATATTATCACTTGCGGTGGACATGTGTTAAAGCAAAAAAAAATTGGACAAAAATACATAATTGGTTAGAAAAGATGTTAGGGAAACATGTAGATTCTAAATCTGAACTTTTTTTATTAGGCATGATTCCAGAAAAATTTGATAAACAAGGTATATATTTTATACTATGTGTATTAACAGCAGTTAGGCTTGTATTTGCTAAGCACTGGAAAATGAAAAAACACCATTGGATGATGAGATAATCAAGAAAATACTGGACTGTGCTGAAATGGATAGACTCATATTGAGAATCAAAGAAAAAGAAGATAGAGAATATTTTCAAACATGGAACTTATTTTATCAATGGCTGGAAAAACGAGACAGAGAGTAAGAACTTAACTTCTATTATTAAGCAAAATATTAACCGAGACAACATGTTGTTTATTAAGCAGTATTGAATTGTAACAATAGAAAATTAATAAAATACTTTTAAAAAAAGAATAATTACAAATAGATCTTAAAAACTCAACTATGAACAGAGGTCTTGAAAAATCTGGAGGGAATTCCAATATTTGTGGTCTCCCTGAATATGTTTACAAAAGCAGTAGCACTTAGACTTATATACCGCTTCACAGTGCTTTACAGCCCTCTCTGTGGTTTACTGACTCAGCATATTGTGCTCCAACAGTCTGAGTCCTGATTTTACTGACCTCGGAAGGATGGAATATGGAAGAGTCAACCTTGGGCTGGTGAGACTCGAACTGCCAAAATGCTGGCAGCCAGGAGAACTAGGCTGCAGTACTGTACTCTAACCACTACACCACCACCAGAAACTGATTATCAAAAGATAATTGCACATCTCTAACTGAAAATTCTGCTCACCTACATAAATCACTCTCCATGTAATCTGAAAGTTTGAGCCCCTCACACAGTGCTTCTATTTTTTTTCATCCTTAACATAGACAAAGAATCCTAATTCAGTGACTGTTTTTCTCAAGAATTTCAGCAAAATTCCTACAATGGTTCTTTGACAGACTGTCCACCAAGCCTGAATTAGAATAATATCTTTGAAAAGAAACATGAACTCTGTATTCTTGAAGGGCCCATACAGAACATGATTATCTGGTGTCTTAAAAATACTTCCTTGTGGATATATTTCCCAAACAGAATCACTTAAATCAGTGGTTCTCAACCTGTGGGTTGGGACCCCATTTGGGGTCGAATGACCATTTCATGGGGGTCGCCAAACAACGCAGTCCGCCATTTTTTTTCTCCTTTTCCTTAGCTGTGCTACTCCCTTTTATTCTATTGGCTTTTGAAAGCCAATAGAATGGATTCTGTTGAATAGAGTCTAATTCTATTGGCTTTCAAAAGCCAATAGGAATTGTCCAGACTGTCTCTGCCCTCCTGAGCCCGCCAAAAGTCCCATTCTGCAAATGGTGCTGCACCAATTGAGTAGTCCTCGACTTACGACCGGTTGAGTAGTCCTCAACTTATGACCGGTTGGGGGGTCGCGGCATTAAAAAGGTTGAGAACCACTGACTTAAATGAAATGACACAAATCAAACCGAAAAACAAACACTGCTCACTCACCGTAGTGCTTTCAATTTACAGTTAGAATATTTAAGCCCTGCAGGAAGCATTTTTGCTGCTCTGTCCTCTCTGTAGGTGGGAAACAACTCTAAGTCTCTCATCCTGAGTACACGTGTAAATTGCCTGCTGAAGGGTTGAGTCAAGAATTTTGCACCAAGTCTGTAGGGAACAATGCAAAATATTACCATTATTTCTTTTTTTTTTTAATTGAAAATTTTTAAATTTTACAAAACAAATCCCTTCCCCAACCCCCCCACCCTCCCATACCCTCCCCCACCTTCCCAAACCTCCCATACCGTCCCCCAACCTTCCCAGAGCTGAGTACAGGCTTAATTAAAATTTTTCAAAAAAATATTTAAAACACCTATAAATCCTAAGCAAATCTAAATACATTAAATTAAACAGGTTATCTTCTCTAAAAAATAATAATTACAATCATTAAACACGTTATAATATACTCTAAACATTTTCTAATATCATACTTATATTATTATCCATCATTCTTTATAAACTCCCTCCAAAACACAAATTTAAACATTACTTTCTTTAAATATCTATACCTACAATATAAAATCTAATCTCTCCCTCTTTCTTTATCCTAAAACACAAAAGTAAACATATAAACATTCATTATACCATTAAAACTAAATACTCTCTTAAATACTTAAACTAAATACTTAAACTTAAACTTCTTATCTAAAATTTTCATTCAATCTCCATAATCTTCTCTCCTATCAAAAAAAAACTTAAAAGACATATATATCCTAAACAAATCTAAGTACATTTAATTAAACAAATTATCTTCTCTTAAAAATAATAATAATAATAAAAAAACCCAATCATTAAACACATTATAATATACTCTAAACCTTTTCATATCATACTTATATTATTATCCATCATTCTTTATAAACTCCCTCCAAAACACAAATTTAAACATTACTTAAAACATTAAAATTCCCTTATACATATTTAAATCTTTACCAATAACAAATTCCACCCACAATAAACACATTCCTTATCAGTCTCTCTTATCCATAACCTCGAAAGAAGTGCTTTGAAATCTGCCCTTAAAGGTAGCTCCAAAAAGTTTGTAAATCTTGCTTCTCCCGCAGACTCAGTACTTTTTTGAATACTTAAACTAAGTACTTAAACTTAAACTTCTTATCTGGAATTTTCATTCGATCTCCATAATCTTTACTCCAATAACCAATTCCATCCACAGTAAACACATTCCTTATCAGTCTCTCTTATCCATAAACCTCGAAAGAAGTGCTTTGAAATCTGCCCTTAAAGGTAGCTCCAAAAAGTTTATAAATCCTGCTTCTCCCGCAGACTCAGGAACCAATACTTGTGAGGCTTCCTTAACCTCCTTCTTCTGTTTCTCTTTTTCTTTACATTTATATGTTGCACGAGGTGTCCTCTGCTCCTTCATCTCAACTTGTTGAGGCCCCTCGAACTGAGATTTCTCATTTTTCATTAATATGGGCTCTTCAGACTGCAATTCTACCCTTAAAGGTTGCTCCCAAAAGTTTATAAAGCCTACTTCTCCCGCAGATTCAGAAACCAATACTTGTGAGGCTTCCTTGACCTTCTTCTGTTGCTCCTTTTCTTTACAATTATATGTTGCACAGGTTATCCTCTGCTCCTCCATCTCAACTTGTTGAGGCCCCTCGAACTGAGATTTCCCAATTTTCATAAGTATAAGCTCTTCAGACTGCAATTCTAGCTTCTTTTCTTCCAAAGCTTTAAACATAATAGATGGCGATGAACATACCCCCAGGACCGAAGTATAAAAGTCTTTTGCTTTAGAAACAGTATTAAGTCTATAACGTATCCCCAGGTAACTCACCACCATTCCAGTCGGAACATCCCATCTGAACAAGATTCGTCTCTTTTTAAGTTCATCTGCTAAAAAAGCAAACTCCTTTCTTCTTCTTAAAATTTTAGATGGGATCTCCTTTAAAATTATAACATCTTGTGAAGCAATTTGAAACCTCTTCTTATAAAAAGCTTGTATAATTTCGTTGCGCAGGGATCTTTTCCCAAAGTAAATTACCACATCTCTTGGCAAGTTCTTTTGCTCTGCCACCACAGAATTAACTCTAAATGTATTTTCAATTTGACTAAGTATTTCCTCTTTTTCTCTATTCAAAATCACAGCAAAGTCCTTTGCAACCATCTCTCTCAGATCTCTTTGCACAGACTCTCTCAAGCCTCTGATTCTTAAAGCATATTCCATTTGTCTATATTGAAGCATAAGAATCTCATCTTGAAAATTTTCCATCTCTTTTTCCATGCTTTCAAATTTTCCCTCCATCAATTCCACTTTTTCTACTACCTCTTCTACACGAGAGTTCAGCTTTTCAAGAACAATAGAGAAAGGTACTAGACAGGGGTGTCCTTTATCGCCATTGTTGTTTGTTTTAACACTGGAAATATTATTGATCAAAATTCGAGAGTCTCAGGAAATTAAAGGAATAGAAGTTAACAAAAAAGAATATAAGTTGAGAGCTTTTGCGGATGACTTGGTTGTTACTTTGTCGCAACCTGATTATTCTGCAGTAAACTTATTACAGTTGATTCATCATTATGGTTTGGTTTCGGGTTTCAAGATTAATGTAAATAAGACTAAAATCTTACCTAAAAATATGTCTAGTCAGGAGAAGCAGATTTTGGCTAACTTGACGGGTTTTGAGATTGTTAATAAGGTAAAATATTTGGGGGTGATGTTGTCTGTTTCTAATGTAAAATTATTTAAAAATAATTATGAAAGGTTGTGGGTCAGGGTACAGAAGGACTTGAAGAATTGGGAGAAGTTGCAATTATCCCTCATGGGAAGAATTGCAGTGATAAAAATGAATATTCTACCCAAGTTTCTTTTTTTGTTTCAAATGTTACCGATTTTGAAAAATGAGATTAATTTAAGTGAGTGGCAGAAGGGTCTTAATAAATTTATTTGGGCAGGGAAAAAGCCAAGGGTTAAGTTTAAAATTATGCAAGACTTCCGTGAGAGGGGTGGACTTAAGGTACCAAATTTGAAATTATATTACGATGCGGTGGTCTTAACACTAATCAGTGATTGGGTAAATTTGACAAATCCTGAGATACTTCATTTAGAGGGATGGGATTTACTTTATGGGTGGCATGCCTATTTAATATTTAATAAAAAAATGGACTGGGTCTTTAAATCTCATATTTTAAGAATTTCTTTACTTAGGATTTGGAGAAAATATTATAAAAGTGATTTTAAAGTTCCATTATGGGCTATACCTTGGCATGCGATAGAAGGAATAAAAAGAGGAGTAAAAATGGACATGGTGTCTTATAGTCAGTTACTTAGATGGGATGGGCAAAACTGGCAGTTAAGATTACGGGAAGATTTAGCGCAAGAAAATATTATTTATTCTTGGTTTCAATATAGGCAACTAGTAGATAAATGGAAGGTGGATTGTAAATTGGGTTTTCTTAGAGAAGATGGAAATCTTATTAAGCAAGTCAAGGATCAAAGACAAACCCATATCAAGAGAATTTATGGGGTATTAGTTGAAATGGACTCAGAAACGGAATTAATTAAAGATTGTATGATTAGATGGGCGCAGAATTTTGGTGTCCCAGTCTCATTGGACATTTGGGAAACCATTTGGGTGAGAAATGTCAAATTTACACAAGCACAGAACCTTAGGGAGAATTTTTATAAAATGTTTTATAGATGGCACCTTGATCCACAAAAAATGTCTCTTATGTACCCTGACGTGCAACCCAAATGTTGGAGATGCGGTTATAAGGATGCTTCCTATTATCATATTTGGTGGTCTTGCAGAGAGATAAAAGCATTTTGGATCAAAATATGGTGGAATATCCAGAGAATTTTTAGAAGGAGGGTAAAATTTACTCCGCAATTATTTTTGTTAGGCATTGTTACAGATTGTGATACAAAGGAGGTTGTATTGATGTTAAATTTGTTTACAGCCGCTAGGCTGTTAGTAGGACAATATTGGAAGAAGGAATCTCTGCCTACATTGCAGGAATGGTTTCTTAAAGTAGCTTATCTGGCGGAAATGGCAAAGATTTTGGCTTTCTTAAAGCAACAAACGCAAGAGAAGTTCCTTGCTGTTTGGGACAAATGGATAAAATTTATACAATTTAGATTGGGTATACAAAAATATCACATAGCTTTTTTATAAGTTTTATTTTTATATATATATATAGATATTTTTATATATATATATATAAATATAAATTTTTAATTTAATTTTTTATTTTTATTTCTTAATTTTTAATTAAGCCTATATTCTGCTCTGGGAAGCTCAGGGGGGGGAAGGGAGGGTTTTTGTGAGGGGTGGGGGATGGGGTTTTTTTTTATATATATATATATGTAATGTTTAGTTTCTTTTTTGTATATGTTGTCTTTTGTTTTGTATTGTTTTTGTCTTTTTGTAAAATTTATAAAACTTTCAATAATAAAAAAAAAAAAGAACAGAGGCAACTCCTTTTAAAGCCAAAACTATCTCTTGCCTCAAAATCTTATTATTTTCCTCTAAAATCTCTTTCATTTCTCCCCTAATTTGAGATATAATATTTCCCATCATATCTTGCAAATCCTTCACCATTATTGACTGTGCCAAGGAAGAGGGTGAAGCTATTGATTTAGTTGTTGCGCTGATGATAACACCGAAGAAGAAGCCACCTTAGGAGCTGTAGGAATTACTGGGTGCTTTGGAGCCATCTTAAAAAAATCTTTACTCCTTCTTAAAAATTACAAAAATTAAACAAAAGAAAAAGAGAGATTAACTCCAAAAAATCAAAAGATCCTTCAAAAGGAGATCATTATAATAAAAAGAAAAGAGTTTTAAAAAAAAGGAAAAGGGAAGAAGAGAAAAATGATTAAATAGAAAAAATCCATTCCATTTTTTAAAAGTACAAAAAACAAAACAAAAAAGTTAAACAAAAATAATAATGCTTCTAAAATCCAAACCCAACATCAAAAAAAAATCATTATAAATAATCAAGTCCACATTCCGTTCCAGTCATTAAAAAAAAAAGGAAAGGGAAAAAAAATACCGAAAAGCCTGCCGATCGCCATTTTACTTTCTCTTTCAACAAAGGAATAAATAAATAAATAAATAAATAAAAAGAGGGAGTATAAAAATAAAAGTAAATCTTTAAACTTAAAATCCAAATAAAATCAAAAAAAGCAAAAGCTAAATCCTCTACTCAGCTCTGTCCGCTTCTAAGAAAAACTCACCAGATCACTTTAATCGCGGAGGTGGTTGCAGCGGCTTGTTTTGTCCCTAGGGACAAAAGCAGCTGGGAAGCGGAGACAGTCTGAACTCCGTGGGAGCACTCTTTTCACCCCCCAAAAAAGCCTTGGGGGTGCATAAGAGGCTCTACCACTATTCAGACAACCCTCTTCCCCCTTCCTTTGCCCGGGAGGGGGATTTTGAACCGCTGAACAGCTGATGACCGCTGTTCATAGCGATTCAAACACTTACCCAGGAGGACGGCTACAAAGTAGCCGCCATCGCGCGCGCAGATCCACCGGAAGCCACCATTATTTCTTGAAAAGCAAGCAAGGATTGTATTTTGTAGAAATTGAAGAGAATATATGGCATACATGGCAAATAATGCCTCTCTCTGGATATATTTCCAGAAGACAAACACTCAAGGGAAAGCAACACACATCAAACTGAAAAAGAAACACTGATCACTCACCCTAGTTTTTCTATTTTACAATCTGGATGTTTGAGCCCCTTACATAGCATTTCAATTACTCTGTCATCTAAGTAGTCGGGGAACAGATCTAATTCTCTCAATCTTTGGTTTTTCATGAGTATTTCAGCAAAACGCCTGCAGAAGGATTCTTTCAGGAATTGCCCTTCAAGCCTGTAGGAAAAAGTGCAAAATATTACAATTATTCCATCAAAAACAGGCATGGACTGTATTCTTTTTTTTTCAAAATTTTATTTATAATACAATTAAAAAACATTGGCTATAACATGACATTCATCCAGTATATACATTCTTATCGAATCATTCCACATTTTACAATTGATTCTTCATTTCTGGATATACATCTAAGTTTTATATACAGTACTTATTCTAAAATAACATATATTTCTATCTTAACACTAGTCTTTAATCCCAACCGGGCATGGACTGTATTCTTGTAGGAACTGCAGAGTATGATTATATGTGGAAAGTGAGGCCTTTCCTTGGATGTATTTCCAGAATATAGTCAAGAGAAAGTATATCAAACTAACAAGAAACAGTGATCACTCACCTTAGTTTTTCTATTTTACAATCTGGATGTTGGAGCCCCTCACATAGCATTTCCTCTACTTCTTCATCTAGAATGTAGAGAAATAACTGTAACTCTCTCAATCTCTGATTTTTCTTGAGTACTTCTAAAAAATGCCTGCTACAGGACTTCACAAAATCTTCATGAATCCTGAAGAAAAGAGTTCAAAAAATTAAAATTATTTTGTGAGAAACAATATGGACTCTGCTACAGAATACAGAATAGCGGAGTTTGAAGGGACCTTGGAGGTCTTCTAGTCCATCCTCCTGCTCAAGCAGGAAACCCTATACCATTTAGTCCAATCTTTTCTTTAAAAGTTCCAGTAATGAAACACCCACAACTTCTGGAGGCAAGCTGTTCCACTGATTATCTGTTCTCATTGTCAGGAAATTTCTCCTTAGTTCTAGGTTGGATTGTTCCTTGATAGTCTTCCACCCATTACTTTTTGTCCTCTCCTTAGGTGCTTTGGAGAATAGGTTAACTTCCTTTTCTCTGTGACTACCTCTCAAATATTCGAAGACTACTATCATGCCATCCTTAGTCCACTTTGTTAGACTTGACATACCCAGTTTCTGCAATCATTCATCATATGTTTTAACCTCTATTCTTGTAATCATCTTTGTTGTTCTTCTCTGCATTCTTTCAAAAGTGTCAACATCTTGTTTGTATTGTGGTGACCAAAACTGGACACAATGCTCTAACTGTGGTCTTACCAAACCAGTATAAAGCAGTACTTTCACATGACCTTGATATCATCCCTCTGTTTATGCAGCCCAGGACTGTATTGACTTTTTTGGCAGCTTTTAATTGGTTGTCTACTAGGACTACTAGATCCCTCTCACAGTTACTGCTTTTAAGCCAGGTTTCACCTAATCTGTACCTGTGCATTTGATTTTTCTTGCCTAAGTGCTGGACCTCACTTTTCTCACAGCTAAATTGCATTTTGTTGGTTAGAACCCAGTGTTCAAGTCTGTGAAGATACTTCTGGATCCTTAGTCTATTTTCTAAAGTATTGGCTATTCCCCCTCAACTTGGTGTCATCTGCAAATTTAATGGGTTCCCCTTTTATCCTCTCATTTAAATTATTGATGAAGATGTTGAAGAGTACTGAGCCTAATACAGAACTTGGGTTACCCCACTGCATACTTCCTTCCATGTAGATGCAGTTCTATTGTGGTGAGGATTACACATTGTGTGTAGTTGGCTAGCCAGTTATGAATTCATTCGAAATTTTTCTATCTTACCAAGAAGTAGATTGTGGTCTACTTTATCAAATCCCTTAGTGAAGCCCAAGTATACGATGTTCACTGCATTTCGCTGGTCCACTAATTTAGTCACTTTGTCAAAGAAAGCAGTAAGGTTTGTGTGGCATTATCTGTTTTTGACAAATCCATGTTGGCTTTCAGTAATAGCTTTGCTTGTTTTTAAATGCTTGCAGATCTGTTGTCTGATTATCTTTTCCAGGATCTGCCAAGATCCAAAAAGAAACCCCCACTAAAATCCAAGACAGAGAACAAGAAAATGGCAAAGCCCTCCTCCCTTACATAAAAGGCACCACAGAAAGAATCAGCAAGATCCTCCACAAACACAACATTAAGACTGTCTCTGGTTCCCGGAGTGCATCCCGGAGTGCAACCAGAGACAGGCATTTAACAACTATATATAAGATTTCTTTCAGCATCTGCCTTTTAACCCTGATGATGTCAAGTGTATTTGACGAAAGCTTGGTTGATTAAACTTTTATTTCTTAAATTTCTCTTGGTGATCATTATTTTAATAAAAATGGAAATTCCCAAGAGTCAAATTTTTACTTGTATTTTTAATATGTATGTATGTATGTATGTATGTATGTATGTACGTACATATTATGTGTCCCTCTTTCCATCTTTTTTACTCATCTGTTTTGTCTTTGTTTCTTCTGGGAAGTCTTATTTTTTTCTTTTTCAGTGGTATTATGTTACAGTGGGCTTTTATAATCTCATCTTTCAGTTTCCCTAGCTTCTTGAGTTGTGAGAGATTGAGATAACCCCGTTAAGATTTTCTTCCATGAAATCCTTTTTAAAAAGTTCATCTATTTCCTCTGTTTGGTTGGATGGTCTGTAGTATAACCCTAAGGCAATGTCATTCCTTTTTCCTTTTATATTGACTCAAATGCATTCAAGAAGGTTTTTATCCATTTTTTTGCATTTCTATGGCTATTACTTATATATAATTTAATTTCATTTCCTCTTTTATTAGGTCTGTTTGTTTTGAACATTTTAAATCCCTCTAGCTGTATGTTCCAGTCCTAGATTTCATCCCATCCGGTTTTGGTAATGGTAACAATATCATGTCTGCCATCTTGTACTAGGACTTGAACTTCGCCCTGTTTGTTTCTCCTACTTTGAGCATTAGTGTACTGTACAGCATCTGAGTCCTTTTTGGATGATCTCTGTTTGCTTCCTAAACCTCTTGCTTTGTGTGTGAGTTTCTCTTTTTTCTTACCACTTGGTTGATTGCCCTGAGATTTATGCTTGGAATTAGCTTCTAAAATTTCATCTCCTCCCTCCAGTTTTAGTTTAAAGGTCTTTGGATAAGACAAGAACTTCCAAAGAAGTTATTCCCCGTTATTATGAGGAATAGCCTATTCCCTGCCAGAAGCTCCCATACAGGTATTATAAACCATAGTCTAGGAATCCAAATTCTCCTGATGGCATCATCTCTTAAGCCAATATTATTATTAGAAGCATATGCATTGATACATTAGCTGGGAGACTACAATGCTATTGTAGAGTAGTAGTTTGGTTGCCTATTTAGGTACATGTGACAGGCTTGAAGCTTGCTTTGTTGGTGCAACAATTATTGCTTTTAGCTTGCCAATGAACTTGGGGGGAGGATGGGAAATTGGAATGCAGGCTACAGAGATAAAGGAGGCAGAGCGTGAGAATCAAGGATGATTCACCAGGTGTCTGGCTTGACTCATTTTCTCATAACAATACAAAGAAACCATTTGATTCATGGTAGTGCCGAAGATGGCTAAAGCCATGAAAATGGGACTAGTCTCGTTAGCAAAGTGGCACCCCACTATGCATTGAGGAAAAGTCAAGAGAGGTGTTGTGATGGTGAAGATGGTCCCACCCCTTTGGGAGAGGAATGCCCCAAAGCTAAATGTCAAGGGGAGGCAAGGAAGAGGCCCGAGAGCATAAAGGGAGTGTCGGAATGAACATCAGAGAGTCCAGCATATTACTGGGTAAGAATCAAGGAAGTCAATGAGTGGAAAGTTATCCCTTTGGGGCTACAAGGAGCCCCTGCTGTGTTTATGCAACTAAGTAAGGAAGTGCTGCATGAGCATCTATACAAAGGGGTCCTACTGTATTTGGATGACATTCTCATCTATTCCGAGATGATGGAAGAGCATATGAAGTTAGTATGAGAGGTGTTGAGAAAACATTTGGGCGCTAAGCTATAAACCAAATTGTCAAAATGTGAGTTTCACAAGACCAGTTTGGACTATCTAGGGCTAGGCTATAAGGTGTCTTGCGAGGGAGTGGAGATGGACCTAGGAAAAGTGAAGTCCATCCCAGAGTGGCAAACTCTCCGAACCCACAAACAGTTGCAAAGCTTTCTAGGATTTGCAAATGTCTACTGCCAGTTTATCCCATCCTTCGCAAAAATCACCTTATGAATAACAGAACTTTTGAAAATGAGCCCCGGTGGATGGAAACCCTGACTCAGTCAGCCACTGAATTGGACAATGGAATGCCAAATGGCATTTGAAAAGGTAAAGAGATTGTTTGCTGCAGAGCCGATCCTAAAGCACCCAACCCTGAGGAGCCCTTTGTGATTCAAGCAGATGCCAGCGATGTCGTGGTGGGGACAGTGCTGCTTCAAAAGAAGAGAGAGGGACATCTTCAGTCATGCATTTTCACTTCCCAAAATTTAAATGAAACTGAGATCGGATGTGGTGGGGGCGGTGTGGGAAAAAGAAGCCTTCACCATGCAGGGAGGAGGGGGCACTACTGACATGGAGACAATTCCTAGAGAGGAGTAAAAATCCCTTTGCAGTTTGTACTGATCATAAAAAATCTAGAGGCACTGAGGACTCCCTGAAAACTCTCCCCTAAGCAAGTTCGGTGGCTTCAATACTTCAATCAATTTGACTTTGTTTTGAAATACATCCCAGGGAGAAAAAACTTCCTAGCTGATGCACTGTCCTGCCTGCCCCAATATAAAAGTACTTGGAAGAAGTGGTGAACCCTATTATTCCCATGAGGCAATTGGAAGCTGAAGTGAGCTTTCTATTATCACTATTATCAAGTGATAATAGAAAAGAAGGAAGACCCCCTCCCTGATGATGCTTTCATGCCTCAGATGAAGTGGGAACTACAGACCGATGTATTGTTCGGAGCCCACTGAGGAGAACTAACATTAAGGGAGGAGTTAGCCTGGAAGGGGAGCAAAATGTATGTCCCTGACAGTCTATGACTACAGTTTTACAGAGGAGCCATGATACTAAGCAAGCTGATCACTTTGGATTCTTAAAGACTTTACACTTGACTAAACAACAATTCTGGTGGCCTGGGATGAAGAAGGACATAGAAAGCTATTTGAAAAGCTGTGCCACATGTACGGCCATGAAGCACAGACCAGGGGAGAGTCCAGGGTTGCTGCAACAAGTGGCTGATCTAACCCGGCCTTGGGAAGAAATAGCCATGGACTTTAGTCGAGTAGAGAAAATATGGTGATATGGACAGTGGTGGACCTATTCTCAAAGCAGGCCCACTTCACAGCATGTTCTAGCCTCTCATCTGCCCACAGACTGGCCAGGATGTTCCTGCAACATATTTACCGGCTGCACGGAGTGTCCAAATGCATAATCTCTGACAAGATGTCCAATTTACCTCCAAATTTTGGTACAAATTTGTAAAGCTAATAGGGTCCTCTCAAGGTCTTAGTTCAGCTTTCCATCTGAATATGAATAAGTAATAAAAAAAGTTGAAATGACTTAGATAAAGGAAATGTTTTAGATACTTAAATGTGATTGAGTTTAAGAAAATTATAATGGATAAAAAAAGTTTTGAGTAAGATTTAAAGGACTAGATGACTAGATATATTAAATGAAATGTTTAAAGATTAAACATATTTTTAATTATGGTTTAAAAGAATAAGAAATCTAGGAAATAAATATATATTAGCTTAGGAGGGATATATATTTTAAGTAGTATGTTATTTTTTATGTTCCTTTATTCTTGTTCTCCTTTTATTCATTGTTTTATCTATTTGTTAAGAAATGTAGAAGTGTGAGATGGTTCATATGGAAAAATTGAGTTAAATTTTAAAATGTAATTAATTTTTGAGAAAATTTTAACCGGTAAGAATACTTAGAATTTCGTGGGAGAAACAAACTAAAATAAGGACTGTAACAGGATCTATGATAAGGCAACCAGAATGATTGGATAGAAAAGAAATATTATATTGATGTGATTATTATTTTTAGGAATATTGGGGAAAAATTATATATTGAATTGTTATCTATCAAAACAATAAGAATTTTATTAACTCAATGTTTGTAAAAGAGGATATTTTGAGAAAGGAGGAACTCAACTAAAAACATTATGTGGATTATGGATTATAGAAATCAATTGTTAATGATTGTTTTACAAATGTAACCCAGACAACATACTGTTCACCAATTATTAAGTGATTTATGTTTTTTTTAAAAAAATCAATAAAATATATTACAAAAAAAAAGAGAAATTGGAATGCTGGCTACAAAGATAAAGGAGGCAGACCGTGAGAATCAAGGACGATTCACCAGGTGTCTGACTCAACTCAGAGACATTTTCTCATAACAATATAATTGCATTTAATTGGACAATATGATTCATCCATGAATCTTTTACCATAGGGGTTTGGGATGGGGCTTGCCAGAGTTGGTTTTGCTTTCACATGTGCCAAAATGATGTACTCAATAAAGTTTTGGAATGTCTCGAAGGTGTTTGCTTGGTTGATCAGAAGCTTGACATTATGCTTGTGCACTTCCCATGGTGCACCAGAGCAGGGCTTTTCAACTGGTGGTACGCATACCACTTGTGGTACATCAGCACCTGGCAGGTGGTATGCGTATGACAGGTTGAAAAGCACCATAAAAAAGTGTAAAAAAAGTGTAAAAGTGGATGAGGTGAAGTTGCACAGGCTTGTGGGAAAGTCAGCTGGAGCTGCGTGAGGTGTTGCCTGGGTTCTGCTGAGAGCTCAGGATCAGCGCGCACAGCTCGGGCTCATTGGCGGCAGCCTTGGGGATGGCAGGCACCCCACAGGGTCTTTGGGCAGAGATTCAACTGGAGCTGCGTAATGTATTGCCTGGGTCCTGATGAGAGCTCCAGCTGATTGATGGCAGCCTTGGGGGTAGCAGGCAGTCCCATGCAGTCTTCAGGCATAGATTCAACTGGAGCTGCGTGAGGTATTGTCTGGGTTCTGCTGCTCCAGCTGAACAAACCCGGGAGAGAAAAGGAGCAGGGGGAGCAAGAGGAAAGGCTATAAAAGGAGTAGGTTTTGGCAGGAGAAGGAGAGAAAAAAAGACAAGGGGGGGAAGAAAGTGCAGCCCTGAAGAGAAAAGGGGGGGGGAGAGGAGATGATATAAAAGAAGGAGGGGAGAGAAGAGAGGATATAAAAGAAGGAAGGGAGAGAAAGGATATAAAATGAGGGAAGAAAAAGGATATAAAAGAAGCAGTGGAGAAAAGAGATGATATAAAAGAAGGAGGGGAGAGAAAGGATATAAAAGAAGGGGTGGAGAGAAGAGGGTATAAAAGAAGGAGGGGAGAGAAAGGATATAAAAGAAGGGGTGGAGAAAAGAGAGGATATAAAAGAAGGAGGGGAGAGAAGAGAAAATATAAAAGAAGGGGAGAGAAGGGATGATATAAAAGGAGGGGAGAGAAAGGATATAAAAGAAGGGGGAAAGAAGATATAAAAGAAGGAGAGAGAGAAGAGGGAATATAAAACAAAGATGGAGAAGATATAAAAGGAGGAGAGGGTGAGAAATTTGTTAAATGAATTTTGCCCCATTTTATCACTTTTCTTTGTTAAGTGAATCTCTGCAGTTGTTAAATTAGCAACATGGTTGTTAAGTGAGTCTGGCTTTCCCACTGACTTTGCTTGTCAGAAGGTTGCAAAAAAGGATCACATGACCCTGGGACAATGTGACCATCATAAGTATAAATCAATTGCCAAGCAACCAAATGTAAATCACATGACCTGGGGATGCCACAGTCATAAGTGTGAAAAATGGTCACAAGTCACTTTTTTCAGTGCCATTGTAATTTCGAATGGTCACTAAGGGAACTGTTGTAAGTCGAGGACTACCTGTACCTTATCACTTTGTTCCTTTTTTGGGGGGGTCATCAAGTTTTTGACACCTTGCTAGGTGATTGGTGCTACTCGAATATTGCCATAGCCTAAAAGTGGTACAGTCTGTGAAAAGGTTGAAAAGTTCTGCACCAGAGGAAGTGAGCTAGCTTTGCACAAGAAAGAAAAACAAGCAGCATCCAAGGCTCCCCTGCCTTACCCGGAACTGCCTCACAAATGGGTGTCACAACAAGAAAGGTTCAGAGCTGGCAGGAATTAGACTGCCTGCAGGAAGCAAGTGATACCTATTTATTTACTCACACAGAACACGTTTTCAAACTGCAAGGTGGGCAGAAGCTGGGGCAAGTGAGGGGAGGTTACCCCGCCACACAGTGCTAGGGCTCAAACCGCTGGAGCAGAGACCATCTCCAGTGTCATTAAGTCATTGAGCCACCATGCCTCTTTTCTTAAGCCAGTGGTTTACTCCAATGTCCTCCGTACCTGATTGGATGCTTACCTTTCATTGTGAGTACAGAGGAAAACACCATCTGTGCCCCCATCTCTTTGGCCCTTCATGCCTAGCTACTCATAATAGCTTGATATGTTTTTTCTGTATTGTTATCATATCATTCATCCCCACATGAAAGAGGAGAAAAGAATAATAATCTCTGGACTTAATTATTTTAGTAAGGTTCTCAGTCATACCTTTGATCTTTTGTCCTGGGAGACAGCAAACTACCCTAGACAGGTGAAAGGTACCCTAGATAGATGCAAGGTTTTACACCTGGCAGGAAAAAAAAGGTAAAAGTACAGATTAGGTGACACTTGGCTTAAAAACAGTAACTATAAGAGGGACCTTGGAGTCCTAGTGGATAATCACTTAAACATGAGTCAGCAGGTACAGCAGCAGCCAAAAAAGCTAATACAATCCTTGGTTATACACAGAGGCATAGAATCAAAGTCACATGAAATATAGTACCACTTTACAAAGCCTTAGTAAGACCACACCTGGAATAGGACAGATGGCTGTCCAATCTTTTCTTAAAAATCTCCTGTGATGAAGCACCTACAACTTCTGAAGGTAAGCTGTTCCAATTGTTAATTGTCCTCACTCTTAGGAAGTTTCCCCTTAATTCCAGGTTGCTATTCTCCTTGATTAATTTCCATCTATTGTTTCTTGTCTTGCCTTCTGGTACTTTGGAAAATAAGTTGACCCCTCTCTTCTTTGTGGAAGCCTCTCAAATAGTGGAATACTGCTATCATGTCCCCCCAAGTCCTTCTTTTCTCTAGACTAGCCAAACCCAAATCCTGCAACCATTCATCATATGTTTTGATCTATAGGCCTTTAATCATCTCAGTTGCTCATTTTTGCACTTTTTCCAAAGTCTCAACATCTTTTTTGTAATGTGGTGACCAAAACTGGATGTAGTACTCCAGATGTGCTGTTACTAAGGATTTATAAATCAGTACTAATACTTCACGTGTTACTTCACGTGTTACTTTCTCTTGACTGCTTTATATTAAAGCAGTCAAGAGAAAGTAACACACATCAAACTGAAAAAGAAACAATGATTACCCACCCTAGTTTTTCTACTTTACAGTCTGGGTGTTGAAGCCCCTCACAAAGTATCTCCACCACTCTGTCATCTGGCTTGCAGAGCCACAACCACAACTCTCTTAATCTCTGGGTTTTTCTGAATACTTTTGCAAGGTCCATGCTGCAAAATTCGGTCATGGTGTTTCCAACTAGCCTGCAGGTATGAATCCCAAAAAATTGCAATTATTTTTTGGAAAAGAAACATAAACTATAGTCTTCAAGGAAATGAAGATAATATGGAGAATATGGTTATTTTCTGATAATAGAACTGTCTTGCAATCTTAATAATTAATTTCAACACTTATTTCAAATGCATCTGGACCCTTAGTCTGTACTTTCCAAGGTCAACATTCTCATCACTCTTTTGCTATTTATTCCAAAATAAGATTTTTTATTGTTTACATTTACATAAAACTTCTTTTGCTTAGAATTGAAGGACAGTCACTTAGTATAATTAAACTTGCCATTCTGAAGGTTTCTAATACTGTGTTTTCCCGAAAATAAGGCCTATCCCAAAAATAAGCCCTAGCATGATTTTACATGTGCGCCTAATATAAGCCCAACCCCCAAAATAAGCCCTAGTTAAGACCCTGCCCACTCCGTCCCACCATCTGATCGCTCGTGGCCACAAAGGGCAGGAGGCTGCATGGTGTGCCAGTGTCACCAACATGAGATGAGGCAGGTGGAGGTGAGTGGAGCTGCCCTACACAGCCCACACCTGCTTACCTCAGGGCCCATGCAGCCAGGCCTTCCATGCTCCATCACCTGCTTTGCTTCATGACAACTGCACTAAGAGCAGCAGCCCTGTCCAGCAGGAGCCTGTGTGGCCACCAGCCCACTTCTTCTGGTTGTTGGTGGCCACAATGGGACAGGAGGCTGTGTGATGCACCAGTGCCACTGCCATGAGGCAAGGCAAGTTGGAGAGTGCAGCTGCCCTATTCAATGATCTGGCTGCCTGCCTGCCTCTTCCATTTCACTACCCTCTTGAGCCGGATTGCCATGCTATGGAGAATGGGCAGGAGAGGCGCAGTCCCCCTCTGTTGTTTTGGAGCCAGGGAGGACTGTCAGATGAAAGGTCTCTGCCATTGCTGCACATCAGCCATGTCCATCGTTGGAGGGGCTTTCTTCCATCCCTGCTGCCCTGCTCCACCCTGCAGATCATGTGCCCGGCACTGGCTGTTTCCTTCTCCTCCCTGTGTCTGCCACTGCAGGGGCTTTCTTCCATCCCCACTGCCCCATCCCACCCCACAGACCACCTGTCCGGCAACAGCCACTATCTCCTCCTCCACCTGCCACTTCAATCCTGTGGTGCCACCTTGCGTTGCCTGCTCCCCGTTGTAGTTTCAATGGTGAGAACTCGGAAGGCCTGCAGCTCTGCCTCATCCCTGGGCTGGGGTTTCGGCCTCCTGGCCTCCTTCACAGATCTGCCCATAGCCACCAAAGTGGCACGCAGAGGAGGAGGCAGCAGCAAAAAAATGTAAGACCAGGTCTTATTTTCAGGGAAACATGGGTAGTAGAAAACAGTTAACAAGCAATTTCCAGAAGTGATTAACAAAGGAGTTTGTGAACCTGTGTCCTTGGACAAAGGTGCCAATCTCTAACCACCCAGATCTTGAAGCTCACCAGCAACTACTATCTTATAGTCTCCTCATGGAGAGCTGCTGTCTAAAGTACTTGGGGGCAATCTCAAGTCCTCTCCTTATCCAGAGAGGAATGCTATCTTTGCTACTGTATCCCTGAATGTCTGGTAAGTCCAAATTATTCAGTGCCAATAATAAACAAAAGAATATATACTATATAGAAAATATTTCTTAAAAGTAGATGGAAATTAAAATTCTCAATGTAGATTAGCAACTTTTATGCAAGCCAATATTTATATTAAAGCCAAAATCATAAATAGAAGAAAGTTTCAAGTATCTTTACTGTATTAAAGGAAGCTAGTAAACAATTGAAGAGAAAGTCCAGGAAGTGATAACAAGGTGATATTATCTACTGAAATAACAAAAAGTTTGCTGTAAATTACAAATACAAAATTGCCATAAAGGGTAAGAAAGCATCTGAGAATACCCAAAGAATGGCCAAAGCTTATAGATCTATACATCTGAAAAGTCCAGCTGCAGATTTTTTAAAAATCAGAGTAATTGCTGTCATATCTCCAAATTGCTTAATGAAGATTTATAAACTACTGAGCATATTCCCCTATGAACAGATCCCAGAAAAGTTAGTCTTTGGCCAGATTCTCACAGCTAAGAAAGTATCTTTGCAGTGAGAAGGGATGCAGATCTCATATCTCCTAGCAAACTATCTTATTGCCCTTTTGACTATGATCACGGATAGAAATCTATCTCAGAAAATACAAGGAAGTAAAGATAATGTGGTTATATATCACAACTTTAACTGCCTTTCCATAGATAATTTTCTAGAACTCAAGAGAAATTTACATATATCAAACTAAAAAAAACCATGATTGCTCACCAGAGTCTTTCTACTTTACAGTCTGGATGTTTGAGCCCCTTATATAGCATTCTTAATGCTTCGTTCTGTGGATATATTAGGCACAACCATAACTCTCTTAATCTCTGGTTTCTCCTTAATACTTCTGCAACATGCCTGCTGTAGGGTTCATTCACAAACTCTTCGTTGAGCCTAGAAAAAGATTCCAAAAAATTAAAAGTACTTCTTAAGAGACAAGGACGGGCTATATCATTGTAGGAAGTGAAGAGACTATGGGTATTTATGGCAACTGAACTGCTTCTCCCTGGATACATTTCCAGAAAACAAGTAGTCAAGAGAAAGCAGCATGCATTAAACTGAAGAAGAAAAAATGATCACTTACCATAGTTTTTCTACTCTACAGTCTGGGTCCTGGAGCCCCTCACACAGACTTCTCACTACTCTGTATTTTGGACAGAATAGCCACAACTTTAAATCTCTTAAACTCTGGTTTCTTCTGAATACTTCTGCAAGATATTCGGTCATGGCCTCTCCACCAACCCTGCAGGTATGAATCACAGAAAGTGCAATTATTTCTTGGAAAAGAAACATAAACATAAATATAAACATTCAGTTCTTCAGGGAACTGAAGGGAATATGGATGTTTGCTGATAGTGGAACTGCCTCTCTGAGGATACATTTCCAGCAGATAAGCAGGTACTTTTACTTTTGGAAAAATGGCAAACATTGGTGATATCAATATCAGTATTAATATTTATAGTTTTATTGAGAATTTTCTTAAGATGATATTAATCTAACTGTATTACATATAATGAGGGAATGAATGGAATAATGTTTTTTAAATATTATTATTATTGTACATTTTTTACTTATTGATATTTAATTCTTTATCTACTGTGTCTTTTCCCACTTTCATTTTTGTGTAGCCATTTATTCTGTTTTTGCTTTTAATGTTTTAAATAGAGAAATTATTGATTTTCACAAGTTTAAACTTCTGGATAACAGCTATGCTTGGCCCCCATTAAATCCTGGGAGGAGAGCCAAGAGAGCAAACAAGCAGGGCCTCAGTTCTAGAGCTCCTAATCATAACCAGCTACTCTCTGTAAAATGGGGAACTCCTTCTATCTCAAGGAAAGGCACAAAAGAAGAAATACATTAGATTCATTTAAACCAAACATGCAGGCTTTGTACAATCATAGGGCTGGAAGGGACTTTTGAAGTCTTTTAATTCAACTCCTATCCAAGGCAGAGACAAATGGCTGCCCAATCTTTTCTTGAAAAGCTCCAATCATGAACCATCAACAGCTCAGGGAGGCAAGCTGTTCTATTGATTAATTGTTCTTACTGCCAAGAAATTTCTCTTCCGTTCCATGCTGGATATCCCTTTAATGAGCTTCCATTCATTCTTCTTATTCTGCCCTCCGATGCTTTGGAGAATAAGTCTATTCCCTCTTCTATGACAGCCCCTCAAGCACTGGAAGATAGCTATCATATCATCCTTCATCCATTTTTAATAGATTACACATACTTAGTTCCCTTAGCCATTAATATAGGAATAGGAACAGGAATTTTCTTTATTGGCCAAGTGTGATTAGACACACAAGGAATTTGTCTCCGGTGCTTAAGTTCTCAGTGTACATACAACAATAATATCATGGTATGTTTTAGATAATAAATCGTAAGATACACTCGTAAATCATAAGATACAAACAGCAAGTGATAAATCATAAGATACTAATAGGAGAATGTAGTAGGAAGGATAAGATGAGAAAATAAGAGCGATAATAGCAATACAGCCCTACTACAAAATATCTTTAGGCATAAGATAGTGCGGAGAGAATTAGGTGTTTAGCAGAGTGAATAGAATTTTAGGAGAAGCTCTCCTATTTTATCACTTCTTAAAATATTAGACAACACAGTATCAACAGTAGAGACCTTCAGGTTTAAGGATTCTATAATCTCCCAGAACTTGAAATGGATATCTAACATCAGAACCATCATTAAAAAGACACAACAAAGAATGTTTTCCCTGTGTCATCTCAGAAATTAGTATTTCAGATTGCCCAAGGAGCTGCTGGTACAGTTCTATACGGAAATTATTATCTGTCATATAATCATATAGATTAGCCCCTAGAGCCCTTTTAGTTTTGTTGCTCTTCTCTGCATTCTTTCTAGGGTGCTGTATCACACTGCTAAATCATACTTAAGTGATGAGGCACTAGGAGGATGGTCCACTAAGATCCCTCTCAAGGTCACTACTGTTGAGCCAGGTACAGCCTATTTTGGAAAAGTTTTGATTTTTCCTGTCTAAGTGCAGGACCTTAATTTTCTCACCACTGAACTACTTCTTGTTCAATAAGGCCCAATGTTCAGCTCTGTCAAGATTCTTTTGAATCTTGGGTCTATCTTTCAATTCCCCCCAGTTTAGTATCAAACTGAAAAAGAAATATTGATCACTCACTCTAGTATTTCTATTTCACAGTCTGGATGTCGGAGCCCCTCACACAGTAATTCCATTGCTCTCTCATTTGTGTCTTTGAGGAATAAATTAAACTCCTTCAACTTCTGGTTTGTCTTAAAGACTTCAACAAGTTGCTTGCTGCAGGACTGTGTAAAGGACCATTTTTCCAATCTGAAAGTGCAATAAATATTCAGAAGAATTATAATGATACCTTCTGGGTTTGGGTTTCTTTTTATTTATTTTTATGAGATTATAATTTTCAAAGAAGAATGGAAAAAAAGAGAGTACTGATACAAAAATTACATATATGAAAATAGATGAATAAATAATAATAATTACAAATACTCAATAAGGATAGACTTGGGAACATAACCAACTGATCTAAAATATCATATGGCTGGCTAAAAAACAAAACATTAATAGTTTCTTATAAATAGTACAGTATGTAGATTATATGTCAAAGTGAGAAATAAAGTTTGAAACACAAATGTTGGATTTGGCACTTTTTTATGTGTACAATCGACATCTAAAATGTATTCCGAATATAATGGATTTCTACATCCAATTTCCTTTTAAAATATGAAATGAACTTAGATATCAAAGTACATTTCTGTAATTTAGTTAGCCATTCTTCAACAGTGGGGATCAAGCATCTTTTCCAAAAAAGAATATATAAAATTCTTGTGGCTTTTAACATATTTAAACTTAGTATTCAGTATGTTGAAAAAATATATGGAATTAGTAACCTTTGACAACTAACAAGATAGCAAGCAGAATGCCTCCCACCATCCAGAATGCCTTCCATCATGCATACTCAGGCAGAATTTTGAAAAATGGTTTTATCCAGTATGATACAAGGGCAATTATCAAGATAGCTACAAGCTTGGCACAGGTTGAGATGGGGAATCCAATCCTAAATAAGAGATGTATGGAGAAAAGACAAGAGGCGGGAAGCTTGAGAGACATAAAGCTTAAAAAATTGTTCTCAGAATTTGCTCTCAGGGAGTGAGGCCAATAAATCAACCATATATTCTACCCAATATTCAGCTGTAGATGTTTCCTTGGTTCTCCAGCAGGCTGACTTTGTTCTTGCCAAATTTATCAGATCTACCAAGTTCTGCACTCTTAGAGGCTGTCACTGGTGCAAGTAAGGCAACCTGGGGGCTTATTATAACCAACTCACCAGAGTCTACTCATTGTCACTACTACTACTACTGGAATTACCAAAGCCAAGACTATTGTTTCTAGAGTCCCTAACTCCAACTCCTCCCCATCCTCCTCATCAGAGGACATGACCAGCAGATCCATAGCAACTTTGAAGTCAACCATGGCAGCTTAAACCATGCAGTCCATTAGTTACACACAGAAATATTTCTCATTTTATTTGCGTATTATACCTAATTGGATGGTAATTTGATGGATTGAACAGGTCGTCCTTTTAAAGACTGGGATAGTTAGAGCATTGCCATTCAGTTGATAGACTAATCTATGTACATAAATAGGGAAGCCAATATAGGGGACCATCGTTCTAGACTTAATTTTAAATATAGTATTAGATTCATGCTTTTCCATTTTTAAGCTTGATTTTCTCTAAATGATGATGGGTGGGGGAGACATTCAGGAAAAGCCTTATTTAGTAGAAAATAGGTGGATTACTGAGTGATAAACTGAATAACTTATGGAAATAATTTACTCAGACCTCAGAAGTAATTGAATTCATAGAGGTTTTTCTCTGGACTGAACTGGTTACAGGGCATCAAAAAATGACAGCGTTGCTCTCTTGGGTTGATCATGTGAAGCTCATTCAATCCAACCTTTGCTATAGCAGTTTCTTATTCCCCAAGATATCTTTATATTCTGTTTTCTAGGTATGAAATTTCCCATATGAATATATTTTTATAACTGGCAATTCTCAATGCATCCTTCAATGTAATTTAGCTTATTCTATTTAGATAACATGCACCTCCAACTGATTCTGAACAGTGCTATCTTTATCCAAGACACTTTTTATCAAACCATGGTTTCAAAATTGGATTAAAATTACCTCACACTGAAGTAGATTAATCCTGTATAAGCTTCAATAGTTGATGAGAAGTTAATACTTCATAAGCATTTTAGCTAACTAAAAGACAAACAGTAATAAGGCGTCAGGTAAGATTTAGGAAGTGAGTCACTACTATGATACTCACTGAAGATGTACCTCCAGTTGTGGATTCAATATGTATCTCTGGCATGTAACCATTCTGAACTCACAGAGTAGACACAGTGTTGAATTCAGACATCCACATTAATGGAAACTGATGACAAGTCAGGGTGGATTTGAAAACTGTTGGCTCAATTCTAGCAAAATGTCCTCTAATCAATACCAAAAGGCATTAATCTTATGAGATCAGCCTGTGTGGAGGGATACATGCATTAACCAGGAGCAAGCTGAAATCCTGATTTCCTACAGCAGGGGTGTCAAACTCTCAACGTCACATGACGTGTTGTGACGTATAGGGACTTTTTTTCCATTATCGGCCATGGGGTGGGTGTGGTTTTTCTATGATACATCCAGCCTGCGAGCTGGCAGTTTGACACCCTTTGCAATAGCAAGGTAGGAACACTGTACTGGGGAGAAGACAAATGTTTGGAGTATGGTTGAAGTGAGGCCACCTATAATTCCAACTACACAACATTCTTTAGGCCATGAGTTGCAACCATATGCAAAATTGTGAAGCTGTTCAGTTTCAGAAACTTTAGCTCTGATTTTTTTTAATAGAATATTAATATCCTACTTCTGTAGAGTGAAAAAAAATGCCCACCTGAAAGATTCTGAGAGATCTGCTACAGAGGACAAAAGAATCCTTAAGGAATCAATCCAGAGATAGTGGTGGAAACAGGGGTAATTTGGAATGGGGCTCAACAACACAAGACAGTGCTAGTCCTGATTAGGTCATATGGAGGCAAAAGGATTGCATTCTTGGGGGTCTTCACATGACCTAACTTAAGTCTTGGATGGGACTGCTCTGGCTATTAATCATCTTGACCTGCTCTCACACTTTCAGAGAACAAAATATTTATCTTTTGCTCTTGCTAATTGCACAACTAGCTTCCCATTCCCATGGATAGATCTCTTACATATAGCTTGGAGACAAGAAATACCCTTTGTTCCCACACACATAGTTCTGTTGACATGACCCACATGTCAATTTATGAATAATTCTCTAGTAAGATTGCCTGGTGCCAGATGGGAGAGGGGAGCCCAGAATTATAAATCTGGGTGCTATAGGACCCATAATCACACACATCATGATGAATCTCCTATCCCGCCATTATCTGTTGCAACTGAACAAGATGAGAGTTCCTGTCTTAATATATTGCTTTTATTAATGTATTTTTCTTAATAGAGATTTGTATTTTAAAATAATTCTGGCATCCATTCTTCCTTCTTTCTTCAGGGTCCTCTTGTGGTGGCGGATACTGCTCTATATGCAATCTAGGTCTAACATATGACTGCTAACATGAACGGAATCAGAGAGAAGTTAATGGTTGTCATGGAGGCCATGAAATCCGGAATAGCACAAGATTTTATCCCCAAGACATGGAGCACTCCCAGTCTGGGGATTCTACCATAGTCAGGCAATGAAATCCAAGGGATATTGCTGGGCAGCAGCCATGCCCAGCTTGCTCCTACAGCCTTGTGTAATGGCCCTTACATATTTATATTTGTTAACTCTGGGAATTGTAAGCTTACTTGCTGCTTTGTGTGTTTGTGACGAACTGGAGAAGTACTCTTCCACTTTGGAAGAAGGTAAAAGAAAGGCAGTATCCAGCCTCATTCCCTCAGTCTTTCCACTACCTCTAACTCCATCTTGACACACAACCACTCTAATTCACTCTCTCCACCAAGAGCAGATTGCTGTTTGCCAAGCACTTCTATTGATAGACCTATCAGTTCAACCCATCCAATAGGGCACAGTAGCTTCTTTGTTCAGTTCCCCCCTCCCATAAGCATCATGGACACATCTCTCCTCAGACCTCCTCTCACAAAACCACAAACAAAAGTGGGGGAGCCCTGTCTCTCACTTTTCTCTCTCTAGAGGAAGCCCTAGAACACTATATCCTGCCTCTCATCAAGAAATTCCAGTGATAACAGTGCATCCTTCCTTACATTTCCCAAACACTCAAAGTCAGTTAACACCGAGTTCCAGCTCAGGCTGCAGGAACTCCCAAAGAAGTCTCCTTTATTGTTGACCATGAAAGATTGATAATAGAGTGCTATAGCAATATTATTAAGGGTAATATGCAAACTTCTAATATTAAGTATTTTTTTCCTTATCAATAACATCTGTGATAAAATGAAAGCAGTTTCTTACCTCAGGACTCTTAGGTTTCTCAGCTTTGTCAGTGATTGAAAGAAATCTTCCATACATACTTCATCCAAACCACATTGCCTAAAGGAGAAAAACATTTTTGTTCTCAGACTTTGACTTCAGTGTTTCTAATTCCTGTACCTTGAAAATATAAATGGCTTCCAGTCCATTTGTAAAGTAACCAGAAGTGAATGTACTCTTGTTGCAGTATGGGAAATTAGTAGTATAAAAAGACGATATAGTAAATGAAATTATTATAGAGCTCTGCATGCAGAAATTAAGTAATTAAGATTAAGATGGCATCCTAGATACAAAAAAAAATGAATAAACTGAGAGAATATTTAAGGAATCCTAAGTACCAGAACATAGATGTGAGAAGTACTTTCCAAATGTTATATAACCATGCATACATGCTTACCATGGATATTCTCTTCATGCATAGTCATCTTCATTCACCTCCAAAGAATAATTATGGCCTATAATTGTAAATAAGTGGGACTCTCTAGATTGCTGCCTGAGTTTCATTTTATTTCAGGTAAGCATCTCTGCTCCAATTGGCTATTAGGACCTGTGGCAGGAATGCCTTCTTCCCTCTGGTCACTGGTTACTGCCTCTTATGCCCTTTTGGGGCAGTGGAGGGTTACTGTACAAGATCACTGAAAGGACTGGATGTTTATTTTAAAAACAGGTCACTGGTGGAACAGGTAAAGGGGGAACTGCCTTTTTGAGCAAGGTGAAGTTGACAAGAGTGCTATCCCTTATCATTTTCTTATACTGGAGGTTACAGAAAAAAAATGGAAAAATTGGTATTTTCTTTTTCCTTTTGTTAGTCCATCAGTGTCAATCACGAAGGGTAATGAATGGATGAAGGCTAGTACAAAAAGGTTGTTTCCTTTGCACTGTTATGATTTCATCAGTCATCTGACTCAGGGGTTAGAGGAGTGAACAGACAGATTGTCAGCCGGAAAAGCAAGCAGGGAATCAGGCACTTCTCAGAGCTTCCAGGCCAATGAGTCAGAGCAGATGAAGCCCAGTAAAGATAATGAGGGAACACATTTTGGCAGAAAGCATAGTACATTGTTTTAAAAGGATATATAATGATTGAGACACCTCCATAACTCAGCTACTGAAAGATATTTATGAAGAGGCCTTTTTCTGACGTATTATTATATTTAGGAGAATAGGTTTGAGAGTAGCAGTGGCATGATTATAAACTGAATTAAATGCCAAAAAGTTATAAACTTTCAAAAATACTTACCTATGTTCTAGAAGAAACATTTCTTTCTCTGTTGGATATATAGATGTAGGGCCTCGAACACAGAGCTTCTGCAAATTCTGGCAATGTTGTAAGCAATAGGCCAGGATCATCAGTTCTGTATTTGAATTGCAGTGATACTCCATTGTGGTGACAGCACATAGTGCATCTTTTACAAAATTCTCATCTTGTGTCTCATACAAATAACTAAGTATTGCTGTTTCCATATAGAAATAAATTCTTTTATGAAAGAATTTATCTATATATGTCTCAGGATAATGTTGCATGACCCAGTCTAGATCAGTCCCGGTGATTGACCCAGATTCAATCCTATAAATTCTTCTGTCAATCATTTCTTTCACCCAGTCTAATAATAATTCTTTATTCTAACTAGAAATTTCCCATCCAAATTTATTTTTCAACTCTTTCATTCTATTTTCTTCATTTAGAAGACCAAAAAGGAAGTGAAATCCTACTGCAAAATCAGTCTGAGAAAATATACTATGCCTATGTAAAAGTGTCAATAAATTTTTATCTGGGTTTTGAGAACGCTGTTCTTCTCCATCTTCTAAAACATAAAACAAAGCAGCAAAAAACTCCTGGAAACTTAAGTGAATGAAGCTGAAGGTTTGAATACAGTGAATGTCCCTTTTGAAGATGTTCTGATTCAGAAAGAGGGGGAAGAGGTCATCCTGATCCAAAGTGTGCTTCTTGACATCTTCTTCCATAAACAGTATTTGCTGTTTCCACATGCCTTCTGCAGCCAAAGAGCAGAAAGTCTTTAACTTTCTTTGGACATCCTGTTTGGATTCTTGGTGATGAAAATCTAACAAACTGGACAGATACCGCATATAGATTGCAGTAAGAGTGCATGGTGTCTTCTGAAGATTCATACCTCTCTCCATCTCTTGTTTCATCACTGTGCAGATGATCCAGCTCACAAGGGGAATGACACACATGGTGAAAAGGGTATCATTTTGTTTCACAAATCTTAAAGCTTGAGTTGCTTGGTCTTTGTTTTCAAAGAATTTGTAGAAATATTCTTCCCTATCCTTTCTAGAAAACCCCAATATCTGAAAAAAATGTGGATGTTTTAAACATCGATGGAATTTGTCTAAAGCAGTAGGTCTTGTTGTGATTATAAGAGAGGATTCAGGAAGAAGCTTTTTTTGAAATAAACTTCTTAAAATAATTTTTACTGGCTCCTCCTTCCATGGATCAAAGCAAAAGGAATCTTCATACCGATCAAAGGAATACCTTAATTCATCAAACCCATCAATTATGAATAGAAGCTTCTCTTCATTCTTCAGTATATTTTCAATGACACTTTTCACTTCCTGACACCTGGGCCACTGTTTTGAAATTATCTCTGCAATGCTACTCTTCTCTGACTCTGCATGGAGATTCATCTCTCTACAGTAAATATAGAAAACATAATTAAATTTATCATGGTAAAGTTGCTGAGAAGCCCAATCCAACATCATTTTTTTGGCCATTGTGGTTTTTCCAATTCCTGCAGCTCCTTGCAACACAACAATTTGTGGAATTAGTCCATGTTTACCACGGTTAAATAATGTTTCAACACTGGCTGAAGACTCAGCAATCTTGCTGATGATTTCAACATGTTTTCTTCCTGTTGCCAGAATTTCATGTTCTCGCTCCTTTTTAGACCGATAATAATCTAGGATGATTAGCTTTGAGTATCTCTGATTCAGGAGCACATATTCACCAGGAACAGCATTAGGATCTTTAATCGTTTGAAAATTGTTTTTAATGTAGTTTCTGTAATCTAAAGCCAGAAAAAAATCAAATTACAAGTGTCAAAAATAAGGCCTACAAAAGACACTCATTAAGGAGTTTGGTTGTTGGATCTTCTTGAAGCCACTTCCATCCACCCTCTGGATTAATGTGTTTACAAGAATTGCATGATACTCCACTAAGTGATCAAAGTAGGAATTGATTTCAATAGGCAAATATTTGTTAATTAATACAGTAAATAATTATTTTTTCACTATATAGTTCATCCTGTTCTACATAATATTTCTGTAATAATTGCACTAAATGTTAATAAGTTATATAAAGATGTTTCTTTGGACATTGAGAGACAGAAGTTTTTAAACCTTACTCTCTTGGAATATGGGAAACACACTTTGAATAAATTTAAAGCAGCATAATATATATTTTGTGCAGTTTGCTTTTTATTCACAAAGAAAAAGAGAAACATGGGCAGATACGGGCTTCTTCAATTCCAATATGTTTAAAAAATATGCAGTTGTTATTAAAGATCAGTTCTGGATTTCCCAAATAGCATTAGACACTTCTTCCTCCTCCTCCTCCTCCTCCTCCTCCTCCTCCTCCCCCCTTCTATTCCTCTTTTCCTTTCATTACAGGGACCATTTTTTTCAGCTATTCTCACTATACCAAAATTGAAACAACTTTGTTTAACATAAATACTCCTTCCTAGGGTCATTCTTGGTTACTTTGATGGCATCACCTTCAACAGATTTTTTTTAGGTAAGAAAATATATCTAAAATGATAATAAATTATTATCAGCATTTTGGATATATCAGTAGACTAGAGACATAGCCCTTTCAGACATGGCCTTTGTTGCTATTATATCCAAATTGAGTATTGTAGTATTCTACTTGTGGAAAATTGCATTTTGATCCATTTTCTCATGTTAAACTGATGCAATGCAATAATTCAGACTTTAAAATTGATTTTTTTGCCAATTGATTGGCAATTCTTATTCTCACTGGTAGAGCAAATGAATTTTGGGGATAATTTTTTACATGCATTTAAAGCTATATATCAGCAACAATCTGCTCAAATTGTTGTTAATGGGGGATTGAGTGAGACTTTTAATATTGAAAAAGGGACAAGACAAGGATGTCCAATATCTCCATTGTTATTTGTTTTGACATTGGAGATTTTGTTGATCCAGATTCGAGAATCAACGGTAATCAAGGGCATAAAGATAAGAAAAAATGAGTATAAATTACGGGCTTTTGCGGATGATTTGGTTTTGATTTTGGAACAACCGATTAGAGCAGTTGATTGTCTATTAGAACTTATAACACAGTATGGAAAAGTTTCTGGTTTTAAAGTTAATAACCATAAGACTAAGATATTACCTAAGAATATGTTAGCCAATAACAAGGAAAGTTTGGTTAAAGCCACAGGTTTTCAGATGGTGAAAAAGGTTAAATATCTGGGAGTATATTTAACTGCTTCAAATGGGAAATTGTATAAAAATAATTATGAATTACTATGGGCAAAAGTGCAAAAGGATTTAAATGACTGGAAAAAACTGCAATTGTCATTGTTGGGGAGAATTTCAGCTGTAAAAATGAATGTTCTACCAAAGTTTCTTTTCTTGTTTCAGATGATACCTATTTTTTAAAAAAGATGTAAATTTGGAGGGATGGCAGAAGGGTATCAATAAATTCATTAGGGCTGGGAAAAAACCAGAAAGAGGAGGACTTAAAGCATCTAACTTGAAATTATACTATGATGCAGCCGCCTTAACTTGGATAAGTGATTGGCTTAATTTAAGAAATAAGGATATTCTTGTTTTTGAAGGGTGGGATTTAATGTATGATTGGCATGCATATTTAATTTTTAATAAGAAAGTGGACCGGGCTTTCAAATCACATATTTTGAGGAGTGCCTTACTTCGAGTTTTGAAAAAGTATTATTATAGGTTAAACTATAAAATACCTATCTGGGGGATTCCTAGACATGCAATTGAGGGGATTTCTAAGGGGATGAATTTTGATAAAATTTCGTATAAAGAATTATTAACTTGGTCAGGTTCGGATTGGTATTTAAAATCTCTAGATGTATTAAGGCAAGAAAATATTCTACAGTCATGGTTTCAATATTTACAAATAGTGGACAGGTGGACTGTAGATAAAAAAGAAGGAATAACACTAGAAGATGGAAATCTGGTTATTCAGATTAAAGATCAGAGTCAGGCCCATATAAAAAGAATTTACAATGCTTTAATAGAATTAGACTCTGAAACAGAATTGGTTAAAGACTGTATGATTAAATGGGCTCAGAATATCCAGGATCCGATCCCATTGGACTTATGGGAGACAATTTGGATTAGAAATGTTAGATTTACACAAGCTCAAAATTTGAGGGAAAATTTTTATAAAATGTTTTACAGATGGCATTTAGATCCTAAAAAATTATCTTGTATGTATCCAAATTTGCAACCCAAATGTTGGAGATGTGATAATATGGATGCGACATATTTTCATGTTTGGTGGAATTGTAAAAAGGTAAAGGCTTTTTGGATTATGATTAAGTGGAACATTCAAAAGATTTTTAAAAGGAAGATAAAGTTCACCCCTCAATTATTCTTATTGGGTATCTTTGTGGATTTAAATGACAAAGAAACTACTTTAATGTTGAATTTATTAACTGCAGCAAGGTTATTAGTAGGCTCGTATTGGAAGAAGGACTCGTTGCCTACTTTAGAAGAATGGATATTTAAAGTTTCTAACTTTGCAGAAATGGCAAAAATTTCTGCTTATTTGAAGGATCATACACAAGAAAGATATATTATTGTATGGAGAAGATGGATAGATTATATTCAGAAAAAATATGGGACTATAAAGTTTCATTTATTTTATGAGTAAATTTTATAGTAACTGTTGTAGAGATTTGTTTATATGACTTAATTTAAGGGGAGTTAAAGGTTAAGTACGATGGGTTTTTTTTCTCTTTTTTTCTTTTTTCTTTTATTATTGTTAACTTTCTTAATAATAACCCTGTACTCTGCTCTGGGAAGCGAGGGGGGGAGGATTGAGGGTAGGTGGGTGGGTGAGTGGGTGGGTAATGATAATATAGTCATGGTAAATGCTTGGGCATTTCCCCTATGCTGCGTTCATGTGTGTGAGAGGGATGAGAGGGGAGGAAGGAGTAGGGAGGAAGTAGGATGGTTAGAGGAGAAGGGGAGGGGAAGAGAGTAGGAGGGGAGGAGAGAAAGAGGAGGGAAGTGGGGAAGGATTAGAGAGGGTGGACGCAGCCTGGGGGGAATGGGCAGGCGGTACCAATGGTTAGGAATTTAATTGTATTTTGTATGAATAAATGGAAAATAAAAACTT